GCTCGGGTGGTCGAGCGCGATGCTGAACGCTTGGAGGTAGCTCGCGTTGCGGAGCCAGAGACCAAGCGGGAGATGCCCCATCATTGTTGTCATATACAAGGTATGCGTCGCATCGGCCGCTGTCTTGAGATGCGTTGACGCACTGAGCGACGAGAGCACGTGGAGAAACACCGATTGGGAAAGCCGAAGGTACCGGGTCCGGTACCACTGCAACAGAAACAGCGCACTCTCGTGCATGGCAGATCGATCCTGAGCGATACATGCGGACGCGAGGATGTCCAGAGCCGTGTCGAAGATGTCTGTCCAGTGTGCGACGGCCTCGGCCCCCGACTCGGACCGGGAGATCCACTGTTTGCCACCAAAACGTGCCACGTCATACTCGGCCTCTGCGGTCTCGGCGGTCGACACTCCTCGGCCCCGCATGCTGGTGGGCACAACTAGGCGCGCTAACGAGAGCGTGTTGCTCCAGAGCCGCGACGAACGGCTCCCGTGGAGGTCGGTGACCGACGACGATATCCTCTGTCCAGCGTCTATAACCCAGGGCAATCAAGACCCTTGTTTCTTCCAATCGATGAAGCAAGTACCGCGCAAGGTGTGGCGTCGACCCAACTTGATAGCCTTATCGAGGCTTGAACCGGCGCGGCGAGGCAGCGACGTGCGGTCAATGTTGTCCCTGTCCTTGACAAAGAGCTCGGGGAATATCGCCATCTCCCGCCGCATCTCGCCGACGACGCTGCGTTGCTTGCAAAAACTCTACATACTCGATGACCGTCACGCTTTGTATCAAGAAAGCACGGTACCTCCAGGTGCAGAAACCACAGGATGCGCAGTGCATACACGCGTGTGTGAAGTTCCTTGCCTTGGGCAATCTTCTCGATACCGTTCACGACCGCGGCTAGGTCCGATGGATGCAACTTGGACGGGTCCATGTACAGCGCCGCGATCGTCCCGACGGCCCGCGACGTCGACGACGACGCATCACTCAATAGTCCGAGAATGCTCTTGTCGGGGATGTGAAACTGCAATGCGCGTCGGTTGTTGAGACGCCACACGGTGAGCCAGAGAAGCGGCAGCGGCGTCAGGGCGTAGTAAAGGTCTGTGATTGGTGCCGACGCGCCAATAAACGCGAGGACGATCAGTGACGCGTACATAGCGCTGCTAAACGTGAGTGCGCGAATGTTGTTGGGGAGCCGACCGCTGCCAATGCACTAGAACATATGTACGATGTGCCTCCGACTTGATACAACCTTGAAAGTCTACCGGCTGAACTTTGTAGTTGTAGCAAAAGAGCAGCGTCATGCAGAAAAGAAAGCCGAGCGCGATGCCACTACCGATCGCCGGGTGTTGCTCAATGTCGAGCTGGCTCACGAGCATCGACACAATTGGGTTGACTATAGGACAAAGACAATAGTTTCCAATGTCCAATACTACGACGCGATGACGTACGTGTGCGGGCCATGACCATGATGATCTGGAAACTGGTCTGAAACCGAAAGTCCATGGTTGTTGCCAATGGCTCCGTGTACAACTTGTACCGGAGCGCCGCAATGTAGAGGACTAGAAAGCCCGTAAAACCAACGACCTACCATATTTCGTGTTTTGAGAGAATAGGGTTGGGAACGTACCCAAAAGTAGCCAAAATGATCAATGCACGCACACGTGGCGCCACTGGGCAGCACAATCTGGACGTAGCCGTTGGGACACGTGGCGAGGCGCACGAGCGTCGACATGAGTGGGATGTACAACATGTCGTAGGTGATTGGATACAGGTATTTTTTGAGCAACCAGCCGTCAACCGGTGTCACTGTCGGTGCCGACGATGGACGTGTGCGACAGTACTTGGTCAGTCGAAGTGCAGCGATGCTGCAGCCACACACGAGGACAAGTGCAACGTTTTTCATCTAGGACGAAGGTGAGACAAGGCGAGATGCGAAGTCAAAGCACGCACTTCCAACGGAAAATTGAGCGAAAAATAGAGCGGGTTGAGCCATGGCGGACTCCCCGCGACTTTGAAGGCGATCGTGAGCGGCGTGTATGAGAGCGACGGCCACTCGGCCCACATCGCCCCGAGCTTCATGAAGCGCTGGAGCCGTCGACGCGACGTCGTCGACGCCTTGCGCTGTGAGTGCGCGATCGCCTTGCCTACGTTTCACGTGAAATGAGGCGCTTTATGTGCCAAACGACCTTGGGCAAGCGGATCGTGAACTGTGGTAGCATTGAAGTGAAGGCCCAGAGTAGGACGTCCGGACGTGCTGCAGGCGCTGCCCGCCACCAAGGAGCCAACAGCACCAGAGAGACGCGACAGGTGTCGGCAGCAGCCAGCCGTAGCCGCATGCGGACCACGCAGCTTTGGTACACGTGGCATTGGCCGCTGCGTAGCAGCTGCGCGTCATGCGTCGTGGGGTAGCGTGTGCTCGACCGTGAGCGCGCTAAAACGGCGGAGCCTGTTACGATTGTATGAACGCAAATAGATGGGTAACTCCGACATGTTGGGAACAAGGTGTTTGGCGAAGACTTGAACGTAACTACTCGACCCGGTCGTTGAAGCGCAAGCGCCGGTCTTAGCGTCTTAAAGGTGGTTGGGGATGTGAGGGGACGCAGTTAAGTAGTGAGGTGTAGTGGTATGTAAGAAAGTGTGGGCGTCTGCGTGTACTTTTTAAAGGACAAACAACCATCGCGGTCATCCATCGGACTTGCGCTTCATATATTTTTAAATGAGTTACGCGTTTCTCCATTACAAAGACTTCGCACACGTAGCGTTACGCCTGAATGCGTTGGAGTCGGCACCAGACTTGCGCGTCATAGGCATACCTAAAAACTAGCGCTCACAGAAGGGACCGCGCCTTGCTCGCCCCTCCCTCTCTCACTCTCTTTCGCTAGCCCCGCCTCGCCCACCTCGAGGCAGGCGGGGCACCACTACTCCATTCAATGCCGACAACGCGCCCGGCCTTTGACAGAGGAGCATATACGCTCCTGACCAGCGATGTACGCCAACCCGATAGTTCGAATGGCTTTTTGATGCGCTCGTCCTCGACGCTGTGCACGGTACTGCGTTCGCAGCACCATGGGTATGCCAACACTTGACTTCAATATGTGATGGGTCATGTTGTCCACTCGGTCTACGTGGGCGGCGGCAGCCAGAGGACGGAGCGCCGCTTCTCGTGCACCTTGTGGTCGCTGGGCGTCAAAACCGGCTTGACGACCGACGTAAAGAACGTGTGGAGGTCGGGGTCCAACCCGACCTTGACATAGTCGATGATGGCGCTCTCCGTGGCCGACCGGTACGAGACGGTGACGTTGGCCAGCGCATCTGTCAGCTCTTTCTTGGACGCAAGCATGAGCTTGGTGTCGCGATGCACCTTTTGCGCGTGTCGGAGTGCCTCGAGGAGGCGTCGTCGGTTCGTTCGGCGGCGGCGAATCTCGGTGAGCACCGCTGGCGACACGACGACGTACTGGTCGGGCCGCATGATGCGCCGGGACGTCGCGTCGGCGTGGCGTCGGGCGCTCGTGAGCGTCTTTCCGTCGCCGTCCAAGAGCAGATCCACCGTGTAAAACGATTGGTTGCGCGACGCCAGTAGCTCTAAGGACGCGTCGTCGTCGATCGATGACGTCCGAGTGTCGCATGCAGGCGTGCCCGATAGCCGCGAGCCAAGACGTACCGAGTCCGACTTTCTGCTCGGATCCGTGAACGACGACACGGAAGAGGGGCCGTCGACAAGCGTTGCAGTCGGAGGTCCACAACTGGGTGCCGTCACGTCGGTTGTTGGCGTCGTAATACTGTGAAGCAAAGCGACATGGGGGCCGCTCCATGGGGCTCCGACTGGTAACGGTAGTTCTTGGGTTGCGCTCGCGAGAATCGCCGCCACGGTCAACGCCTTTGACGTCAGTTCCTCGGACCCGTCCACGCCCGCATTCGAAGCAAAGTCGCTTGTCGTGACGAGCTCTTGGGGTGGGCCCACACACGTCTCATCAATCCTCGGTGGTGGCGGCGTTGTGGGTGGCAGTAGATCCGACATATCACGGGGACCTAAACTCTTCGCTCGCGGCGCCACCACAGGTGCCAGGTGATGTGCCATCTCGACGTGCTCGCCGACCACGGGCGGCAACGCGGGCGGTCGCAAGAGACTGCTTGCAATCGGAGGCTCCACGTATGGCGGCACTTGTGGCGGCGGGGTAACGTCGGCGTTGTACACGTCGCCTCTCGGTACCGACGCCGGTGGTGTGTGCTCTGGCGTCCGCGGCTCTTGCGACGTTCGATGAGCGGGTGTGATCTTGACCGTCATCGACGTTCGCATAATGGAGCGGGAGAAGCGGCGAATGCCAGTGCTACTACTGAGGTGTGACTCTGTCTTGCGTCGCGTCAACGTGCTCGTCATCGTGTTGGTGGTCATCGTCGATGGCCTGACGGAATCGGCGGACCGCACGACGACCCGGACGAAGCGCTGCGTGAACGTCTCGTGAACCCATTGCATCAAAGCGTCCGAGAGCTTTTTCTTGCCCGGGTGCAGACGTTTGGTAAATTGCGCGACCTCCATCTGATGCAAGCGCAAACAAATCGCTTCGAGTGTGGCGCTGAGGTGGTACACGCTGTGCCACTTGGCGAGGGCGCTGTGAACGCGATTGATGCTCTCGGGTGTCAAGAGCAAAAAGAGGCTCGTCTTTGTGTGTCGCTCGGCAGCCTGCAGCACCAGCGCGAGCACGGACGCACACTTGTAGACCGTCGTCGGGCTCGGATGACTAAGCGCGGTCACAAAATTGTTGAGGTACGACGCGTTCTTGAGCCAGAGCTGCAGCGGGAGGACGCGACCGGTGCACAGTTTATGGATGGTATGGATCGCGTCGGCCGATCGCTTCCGGTCGGCCGTCGCTGTCAGCGTTGAAAGCACGTGCAAGTAGACGGTCTTTGGGAGCCGGAGATACCCGGATCGATACCACTCGAGCAAAAAGACGGCAATTTCGTGCATGCAGGGCTTGTCGCCGAGCGCGCACGCTTGCGCAAGCACCTCGAGCGCGGTGTTGAAGAGCCCGATCGAGTGAAAGAGCGCGTCGTCCGGGGATTCGTCCTTGGAGATCCAGTGCTTGTCGTGGATGAGCACAACGTGGTAGTTGCTCAGCGCAATCGACCGCGACGTGCCCGTGAGCCGCGACAGAATCGGCGCCACAAGCTTGGCCATCGACATGGTGTGCTTCCAGCCGCTGGGGCGTCGGAGGTCCGAGACGGACGACAAGTGCTTCGTGGATGCATTGAACGACGCCGTCCTTTGACCAGAAAACATTTTGAGCAGCGACGACGGGCGACGTGCTGCCTCGATAGGGGGGGTCTCGGTTGAGGATGGCTTGATCGCGCGTGAATCGAGGCTGCTGGGCAGTGTGTCGGGCTCGGAGAGTCTCAAAGGACGCCTCTTGACGCGCGGCTTCTCGAGAGCAGACGTCGAACTTCGCTGCGTCGCTTTTTCTCGTCTCGAATGACCGCTTTTGGCGTCTATTGACCTGACAGGGGCCACGCGGGGGTTTCGAAGCATGGGTGTGAGGCGCTGGAACGCGGCGAGCGCATTGATCTGCCGCGGGTGCAAGTTGGCGAGGGACGATGTCGTGTCCACCACATCTATGAGCACAGCATTCACAATCGTATAAATGACGCTCGCCACTCGTACCTTTGACGTGGTGCACACGCTGGATCTTGGTGCTTTGCTTGATGATCGAAATGGGCACGTCGCCCAAGAGGAGGCGTGCCCGCGCCTTGGATTTGCGGTCGATGTTCTCAATGTCTTTGAACCACAGCTTGGGTGGCACCGCGGTCTGCTTCCTGTCTTCGCCCACGGTCAGGCTTTGTTTTCGGAAATTCTGTCCCGTATGTGAACGATGGATCCTTCGAGTCGAGAGCGCACCTCAATGTGACAGAACCAAAGTGTCCGCAGCGCGTACGCGCGGCATAAAAGCTCTTTGGCGCGCGACCGCTGCGTGATCTTTTCGAGCTGCGCCACGATCGCTGCGTAGTGCACTATGTGGAGCTTCTGCGGGTCCATGTACAGCGCTGCGATCGTACCCACGGTCTTGGCCCGGCTCGAGTGGTCGCGGAGGAGCTCGAGGATCGAGAGGTCGGGGACGTGAAAGTGGCGCGCGCGCCGATTGTTGCGGCGCCACGCGACAACCCACACGATCGGCAGCGGCGTCAGCGCATAGTAAAGCTGCGCAGTCGCCGCGTCCGAAACGAGCAACCCGAGGACGCACAACGTGGTATAGATCGCGCTCGAGAACGAGAGTGCTCGAATGTTGTTGGGGATGCGGCCGCTCCCAATGCACTAGTTCCACATGTGCACTGTCCGATACGATGCATATATATTGCGTACCGGCTGCGCCTTGTAGTTGTACACAACAAAAACGCTATGCACGCGAGAAAGCCACACGCGAGGAGGATCGCGTCCGTTCGGTGCGTCCTCATGTCCAAGTCGCTCACGAGCACCGATACAATCGGGTTGACTAGGACAAAGACAATATTGTCCAATGCACAATCATAATACGACGACGTACGGGTGCGCGCCATGACCATGATGATTTGAAAGCTGGTTTGGAATCGAAAATCCATGGTCGCACCGTGCGGCTCGATGAACATCTTGTAATGCAACGCGCTGGTGTAGAGCACGACGAATCCTGCCAGCCCAATGCTCTACAATATCGTCAATCGTGACGTAGACCGATTTTGGATAGTTGAAAATACCCAAGAAATACCAAAGCGATTCACGCAGTCGCAGGTCGCGCCACCCGGCAGCGCAATGTGTTGATATCCCGCAGGGCACGTCGCGAGGCGCACAAACGTCGAGATGAGCGGGATGTACAACACGTCAAAGGTGATCGGGTACGCGTACTTTTTCAAGTACAAGTCGTCTACAGCGCCTCCTGAGAATGGAATGCCAACGTGCACATGTCGACATACACAGTGGCACGAGTCGTTGCCCGTGCCGGAGTGCGAGAATGCTCCCCCGCACGCGACGGCCAAGCCCAAGTTGGCCATCTATACGACGAGAATATAAATATACGATAGCTAGCATCGGATGTCGAATTCCACCTCGTACGGCGAGTTGAACGAGACAAGCATCGAGGACAGAAAACTGCTCGAGCCCCTGACTTTGAACGCGATCGTGAGCGGCGTGTACGTCAATGACGGCCACTCGGCCCACATGGCCCCGAGCTTCATGTAGCGCTGGAATTTAGGCTTGTGTATGCTCGTCGACTTGCGCTGCGAGAGCGCGACGGCCATGCCTGCGCCACCTCAGAAGTGTTCGATGGGATTTAGTCTTACCTTGGGCGAGCGGGTCGTGGATCTTGTCCGTATCAAACTGGAACCCGTTGGTGACCCGCGTGGCTTGGCGCAGCCGCCCGAGCCCATACACCAACCAAACGCCCCAGAGCAGCGAGACGGGCGCCGAGACGAGCCAGCTGTAGCCGCACGAGGGCCACGCGGCCTTGGAACACACCGGCGCCGACGCTTGGAGCCAGAAGCAGGACCCGTTAGTCATGCCGCGCTATTTCGGCCTGTCTAAAAAGGTGTCTGGGCTTAAAATAGGAGCGACACCACGCTGTCATCAAGAGTGTACCAGTATGAACAACCGTCTACAGGGACTTGGCGTGAAGAAAGAAACTCCTCATCTCACGACACGCGCGTGAGGCGAGCTTGTTGTCCGAGAGGTGACTGGTTCCGTCAAAAGTCCATACGCATGTCTTTCAATTCCCTCAAAGGCCGAGGATGGCGGGCATGGCATGTCTCGGTGGTGGGCGAGGCGGGGTTCGCTCCATGGGTTAGCTCTCGTATGCGACGGACTGTACATTGGGAAGTAGCATGGATGCCGATGCTGGCGTTGGATTTGGTGTCTTCCGGAACCTCTCTTCCACGACTTGAAACTAGCCCACCCCTTGGTTCCGTCTTGCTTGGAATGGTGGAAGGTCATTATAATACATTCATGTAGGCATCTATTTCAACTGTATGTCGTCTCTTGATCGCATGCTCTCTACTGCCGGATCTGGTCGATGGTCTTGAAAAGGCAGGCGCGGCCTCGACGAGCCACTCCTTCTCGATCGGTACAAGGTTGCGCACATAGTGCTTGCTCGTAAAGACGAGTTCGTTGAAGACCACGTAGCGCGGCGGTGGGTTGCGCTGGAAGAGCACCGAGCTCGGGTGCACCTTGACATCTTCTTTGGTCGCATTGCACATGGTCTGGAAGCTCGCTTTCGACATGAGCGCCGACTTGGTGCGCATCGCGCTGTTGAGGAAAAAGCCGGCGACGATCGCTTTCCGGACCGGCACGGTGTCGGGCAGTGCCGACGCCGTCAACGCCTCGGACGACGGCGCGACCTTGGAGAGGTACGTGACAAGCTGGTCGCGGACTTTCTCGACGCGCTGCATGGACCGGTGGTTGATGAAATGATCGCGGCACCACTTGGCACGCTGCTTGAGCGACGTTTGCGCGTACGCGTTGTAGACCGAGAGGAGCATGAGCTGGTCGCCATCGAGCGATACAAACTGAGCACGGGACGCCGCCGCTTTTTCCTTTGATCGCGCGGCGAGTAAAAGATCGACTCGACGCTGAGCATGGCCACAATACTCAGCGCGTCGGCCGCACACTCGAGCTCGAGGGCGCGCAGAAGCATGACCGCACACATGGGATCAACCGGGAGACTGGCCATGGTCCGACCTACTCAAGGCGTGAATAGTATGTAGAAGGTAAGAGAACGCACCGCGCGGCGTGAGTGAGCCATCGGCGTGGAAGGCGCCGAGTGCGTACAGCTTTTCGAGGGCCCGCATGAGGTTGGCCGTGTTGGGACGTTCAATAAAGTCAAAGCCGAGGATGTCGTCGATGCCCATGGTCTTGAGCTGCAAGACCACGATCTCAAGGCTCACGCGCTTGATTTCCGGGATCGCACGCGCCGGCAGCTCCTCGAATTTGTCCTCGGGGAAGAGGCGGTAGCACACGCCGGGGGCCTCACGACCCGCACGACCACTGCGCTGCCACGCCTGCGCCTGCGAGATGGACTCGACATGCAAATGCTCCATGTGCCCGACAAACGACCGCTGCTTGACAAGGCCAGCGTCGACGACGAACCGGACGCCGTTGATCGTAATCGACGTTTCGGCAATGTTGGTGGCCAAAATGACCTTGCGCACATCGCGGGGCGCAGGCTCAAACGCCAGCATTTGCGCTTCGCGGGGCATGGCCGAGAAGATCGGGCACACGAGCAGCTTGGAGGACGTCGCTGGGAGCCGCGTGCCATAGTCGTTGAGAAGGCCTTCCATGGTCTCAATGTCCTCTTGGCCCGTGAGGAAGACGAGAATGCTGCCATTGTTCTCGGCGTTGTCCAAGTGAATCTGCAGCGTTGTGATAAGGACCGCGTCGAGGTAGTCGGGCAGCGCCTTGGTCGTGTAAAAAATATCCACCGGGTGTGTTCGGCCAGGAATCCGCAGCACGGCTGGCGAGCTACAAAACAGATAAAAGTGCAAACTCGCAGATTGCACTTGCGTACCTCTCTTTAAAGAAGGACTCGAAGAGGCCGACGTCCAGTGTCGCCGACATGACGACGACGCGGAGGTCCTTGCGCGCCGCGAGCGCGCGCTTGATGACACCAAAGAGGATGTCGGTCTGCAGCGACCGCTCGTGGGCCTCGTCGAGCACGACGACCGAGTACGCGTCGAGCGACGGAGAGAGCAGCGCCTCGCGCACAAGCATACCGTCGGTCATAAACTTGAGCTTCGTGGACGCGGACGTCGTGTCATCAAAGCGCACGCAGTAGCCGACGGGGCCGTCCTTGATGCGCGTGCCCATCTCTTCGGCGACGCGCTGGGCGACTGTGATGGCGGCGACGCGACGCGGCTGCGTCACGGCGATCTTCTTGCTCGGGTTCGTCATGTGCGCCTCGAAGATGTACTGCGGGATCTGCGTCGTCTTGCCCGAGCCCGTCTCGCCGACGACGATCACAACGCGGCTCGACCGGACCGTGTCCAGGATCGACTTCTTCCACGCGAAGATAGGCAGCGACGCCCGGACCTTGGCCATGGCCTCGCGGGCGTCCCACTCGCGCTCACGCCGCTTCTTGGCGTCCATCGTCGTAATAAAATTTGGTCAACGGCCCACGATTGGATCGCACCGCTCGGAAAACACGCAACTTGTGAGCAGCTGGTGGAATTGAGTTTTTGTCCAAAAACGAGCACCTTGAAACTCAATTGATTGCGATGGAACTCAATTCAACGCGATCGCTTCCACGTCATAATCGAAGGGCAAGTTCACGGGATATTGACCGAGCTAGAGCAAGCAATTGATGTACAAGACGATCTACTACATGTACTTGGTTGTCTCTGCAATAACTGCGACTTCGCGATGGCGCAACAACCCTTAATCGCAATGGCGAAGCCAAGGCCCCAGGGCTGGCTAGAGTAGCATGTGGCTAGCGTAGCACAAAGCGATGTGTTTGTTTCTGGAGATCCGCGCTATCAATACTATAGACTGCAGTGTGTACGACAACCAACTCGCCCGACGCCACCCCAATGGCGTTTTCTGTGCCGAAGACTTGCATAGCCATCAACCAACATGACCTCGACGCGCAAGGATGCGTAGGAACATGAAAGAGACTTGCTTTTCGCTTCGTCGTCGGCTTGTGCAAACGTAACTCGTACGGCTTAGATGGATTGCGCATTGTTGGAGACGGCGCCAAAGTAGCAGGACAAAGTCTTGGTTTCGTGGTCATGAAGGGCTTCCGGCGACGGCTCCTCGGGGCGACTCTCGTCCGACCGACCGGCCGCGAGGCGCTGCTGGCAGCGAAGCAGCTCGCGCTGGCACTCGGCCAATTGAATCTCCAAGAGGTGGTTCTGGTACGCCATCGCGCGCGTCAAGTCCTGGGACGCGGCGCCACGCGGCGCCTTGACCGCTCGCAGTGGTGTCGTCTTCTACACCGAGGCTCGTGCGTCATACAAGTCGATTCGAGTCGAACCTGAAGCGACGCCATGGCTGCGTTGACCGTGTACGCGAGGTCCGTGCAGATGCGCGACTAGATAGTGTATCAATGTGTCAAGTATCCAAGACCGTTTCGCTCGGTACGTGACGCTTGGTCTCAATCGCGTTGATGCCGCCAGGTGCTCGCACTGCGCCGCCACTGCCGATCGTTAGCACCACCTATACATCCCCACCGCCTTAGCTGCCGACGCCGTGCTAAACACTGACGTTGGCACTTTGGGCCGCGGTCGCCCGCGCGGTCCAGAGCAGCTGGACGAGCTAGCCACCAGAATGGCACCCTTTCTTCTTCTCTTGATGACGTACCGAGCGCTTCTTGAGCTTGCTTGTCGAGCAAATATCAAAGGCCGCGTAGAACGCATGCTGCATGGCGTCCGTCGTGTGGTATTTCAGCTGCTCGTACAGCTCGAGCATCTCTTCTTCAAGCCGCACAAACGCCTGCGCATCCTTTTCAGTCGCAGCGTCAAGACTCGGCAAGCAACGTACGATTTCAAAGCTCGAGTGCGACGCTTTCAAGAGGTGCTGGCGCCGGGCGCGCGCCGCGCGTCGGTGGACGCGGAGCACCGGTGTCCAGAACGTCTTGAGCGTCTTGGCAACAGGGCCATTGGGCACGGCCGACACGTGCAGCCGCTCGTGGCCGTCGACGGCCGTCAAGATCGCATGCAGTCGTCCCATTTCTTCCAGGTGCACCTACACATCAACCGTGTCTCCAACAATCGCATCCAGGCATCATACGCCCAGCGACAAAAAGTCGGGTTTGTCGTAAATAACCCAGAATTTCGACCGATACAAGAGTGGCACGCACGCCTTTTGCCACAACTCAAAGATCGTGTCGCGGTACGTGCTCAAGAGCTCCTGGCGCCACCTAGGATCGCATTCTTACTTGCGCGACCAATCGCTGCATGATCGTACTGGAGCGACGCCATCCGCGTGAGCGCGCCACGAAAAAGGCTTTGAACGCGAACGACGTCGGCGCGAATGCGGGCGAACGCGCGGGCCTGCTGCTGGCCTCGGAAGCGCGCCTACAACGAACGTGGGTGGCTCTCGTGTCGGGGCCAGCAGACAGTGTACTGTACCTGGAGCCGCAAGATGCCATAGCGTAGCCGCTGCAGCCGTCGCGTGTACACCACTTGCTTTCCAAACGCCTGCATCCTGTAAATGATGGGAGATCGGAGACGCGATGTCGACGACCTGAAGCCGCAGCAGGGCTCGTCGCTGCATCTCGTACGCAGCGCGTTGAGCCACCATGCGAAAGCGACCCTATTTAGCATCGTGTGCGAATCGACAGTATCAGAACGCGTACTTGAAGACACGTAATGGCCGCGCGCAGGCGACGGTAGCTGGCTTGGAGCTGTTGGCGCTACAGTGAACATCGTTTGCTTCGTTCAGAGACGATGTCGACGCACCTTGAGACGGGCGGCGAGGTGTCGCTGGATGCACAGCACGGCGCGGCGCGTGCGCAAGTACGCACTGCGCTGGCGATACGCCCGGTAAAACGCTTGCAGCTAATACATCCCATGCATCAACGCCGAGCACTCTTCGTGTCTCACGCACGCGTGTGACGAGGCGGCGGGTCGCGTCCCACGTCGCAGCCGTGTCCTTGACGCACCTAGCGTTGCTTGTCGTTAACTACCTCTGTGTTGTAAGGCTTTCTACGTACGTGCTGAGCCGGTAGATTTGCTGGTGCACGTCGACGGGTGCGACAAAGCGCTGCTGCTCTCGGGCTGCGTAGAGCTCGCGCGGCTTGCGGATCGTCCCAAAGAGATGTCTAGACAGTTGGCGTGAGCCGCCGATTTGGGCTATGAAACCTTGCGTCTACTTTTTGAGCCGTGGAAAAGCCTTGTACTAGGAACAACGACACGTTGTTTCAACTTGATAGAATGCGACAAGGCGTACGTGGTACACGGCGCCATTGTCGGGGAGGCCGAGTGTCGACGGCGACGGCGTCACAAACGTCTCTCGGATGACGTCCGTCTTGTCTTCAAGAAAGCTCACGTCATGCTTCTTCTTTCCAAGCGACAAGGACCGGTTCAGCTATCCACCTCGTATATATCTATCTACCCACTTGCTCGATCGAGGGTACCTTTTGGTTGATGGCTTGGTCGAAAAAAACCACTTCCGGCAGCGTCGGGTTGAAGAGCCGATCTTCGCAAAAGCGCTGAAACATCTATAAAGCTCGATAAGATTTGGCGTCGACGCTAGTGTAGCGTCGTACTTGAGACTCGATCATGACGCTCAGGAACGGTCGGGACGCGACGTCGCTGTTGTCGCGTAGGAAGCCAGTGGCGTCAAAGATGGGCGCCGTGTTGGTTTTGCTGCTGTCATTGTTCTAGATGACCATACATACATACATCTCGAAGAAAGAGGAGATAGAGACACGAACCAAGTAGGACGCGTAGCGCTTCAGCATTGAAATGAAGAAGCGCAAGAACGACTGCCGGACTTGGTCTTGCACAAACCCACCTCCGAGCGCCGGTGTCGGTAGCATGAGACTGTCGACACTTGACGACGACGACAACGACCGATCGCGCTCCAGCATTGACGCCGACGAGCTCGTATGCGAGAGAAGCTTGAAGGAGCTGAAGTGCAGGCTGCTGGAGAGAGACGACGACGCTGCGAGGGACGCAGCCGACGCAGCAGAGAGCGTGCGCTTGTCGCCAAGGCTGCCCCTGCGGCTGGACACGACGTCGCTTGGCATGGGCAGCGTCATGCCCGACGACGCGAAATCGGTGATCGGCTCGAGGCATTCGTCGCCGCCAAACGCCTACCCGAACAATACGACCTTTTCGAGACAGCACGACCGTACCCAGTCGGCCTTGGCAATGTCAGGCGCATATGGATCAAACACATTGGCGCAGTTTTGGAGTTTGACTTTGAGTTTCGTCGCGGCGCGCTCGGGCATCTTGGGCAGCACGGTTTCCTAGCCCAAGGCGTCAGCTCATCATATTCCTTGGAGCAAGCGACGTACAATGCCGTCTTCGTTGCGCGGTGGAATGACGCTAATCATGATTTCAAGTCCAAACATCATCATGAACGCAGGGAAGTGTTACCGATTATGGTCCAGGTCGATGAAAAAGACATCGGTCGAGCGACTTGCAGTCGCGAGGTACTTTGAGTGCACACCGACAAGGAACGGCACCGGCGCCTAGATACATACCTTGAGCATTCATTCCATGTGCACTGTGCAGATGGTCGTACGTCAATCACGTCCAAGAGCGACGACGGAAGCACGGGGATATACGCGCCTTGCCACGCCAGCGGAAACAGCAGCGTCAAAAGGGTCTCTGCGATCGGTGTCAGTAGCGCGAGATGCTTGGAGCACAGCGCCACCTACGCATGGTGTCAACCAGGATTGGTTTCGAAATGTATCAACGTATCAACTTTTTGTTCGAGCAAGAGACACGACACGACGGTCAAGACGTTGTTCATGTCGAGCACTTGAAAGAGCGACCGAAGGGAGAACTACATGCGTTGTGTCCAGACACGGAGCGAGTTGCGGACGTAACAGTACGTACATCGGCCAGTGGCAGTTGGTTCTTCGGCGGCCGGGCCACGTAGATCGTGCGCTCGGGCAGCGTGAGCTGCACTTGGATGCGGCCCTACGCGCGAATTCGTGCCAGAAGGATACAAAAGAGGATTCAAACCCGCGGAGGCATGGGCACTTCGCACACAAAGTTGGCAATGTAGCGCTCGATCGGCATGGGCGCCGCCGAGAGCGACAGTCGGTAGATCTGCACAAACGTTGAGTAGTACGATCGTTGAAGACGCAACGCGTCAACCTGCTGGAGGAAAAGACGGTAGCCGGAGAAGAACGGATGGTGCGAGATCAATAGAAGGCACTTGGGGGAGTAGACGGACGTGGTCGACGCCGACCCGGCCGAGAGGTCTTGGGCCCACTTTGGAATAATGGGCGCCTTGGTCTTCTCGCTGCCTGGCGGCGGTGCGAACAGCGTGAGCTACATCAATAAGAATGAATACCCATAAGTGTGCTGGTCCAGCGACTGCGAAGGACATACCACTTCGAGAGGCGAGAGCTCTTCCACAAACTTGAGCGCACATGCATAAAGCTAGCGTCGTCGCATGAGAGAGCGCGCAAAGCAACGACTGAAATTGGACCTTGGCACCGCTCACGTTGGTCAAGACAAAGGTAAAAAACGTGGGAGTGATGTGGGTTTGACTGAGCGCCAGACCTTCTGGAAACGCAAACTAGAAATTCGGGGTCGCATCTGGTGCGCCTGGAAGAGGTACGCACCTGCGAAATATGGCTCGGCAACGGCGCGTCGGCATGGGCGTCGGGGAAGCTGTCGAGGATCGTCGGGACAAACTGGACGTCGCTCGGGCCCGCATTCTCTCCTGTACGTACATCGTAAATACAGAGGCTTTGGAGAGATAGACTATTACCAAGCGGCTTGCCGAGGACGGCTTGGCCACGCCCGACGACGACAAAGTAGTTGACGAAGCGCTTGGAGACTTCGACGATCGAGCCGCTGGTCGTACTGCGCTTCTCGGACTTGTCGGAGCTTGGCCCTTCAAACGTCTGGCCGGCTTCCGTCGTAAAGGTACGCGTCTCGTACTTGAGGCGCACATAGTCGTCACGGCTCGTGGCATTGGCCTGGAGCGCCCGGCGCATCGCTGCCTTGGCGTCCGGTCGCAGATGCTTCTCGTAGACTGCGTTGACTGCGCGGTTCCCAAGCATTTTTTTGACTTCGTCGTCGGTCCAGGTGTCCATGTGCACGGACTTGACGCGCGAGATGTTGACACCGAGCTGCCGATGGGCGCCGGCGCACTGGAGACACACGAACGCGCCAAACGTGATCGCTGCCCACGTCGCATCGGAGGCCGTCGTCAAGGCCACGCCGCAGTCGGCGCAGGCCATGTTCTCGGGCGATCCTCGCACGAGGTCCGCGACCCGCTGCCCGTTCTTGCTCATACGACCGACTGCTCGACGTGTTGGAAACCACCGCCCGTTTCGACTATCGTCGCCTTCGATGTTCGACTAACTAAACTGTTGGAGAGGGAACTTTACGTCGCCTTGCACGCGGTCGCTGCAAGCTGCATCGTTGAGGTTCCTACTTGGCGGCGCCGGTGGGCGCGCGACGACAGCGATCTTTCAAGTGATTACGTTCGTTGTCCCTGTGGTGTAGTCGTTGTTAGTCGTTTAGTCGAAACTTGGTTTCGGATAGTTCCGAAACCAAGGCCAAAGCGACGTCGGTTGCGGCCTGATTCTAGGCCAACATACCGTTACTAGGTCGCCAAAAAGGCCTGCTTTTACCTAAATAGGACGACCGCCTACCGGAACCGGACGAAGCGAACTGGGGCTGGAGTCGTCCGGATGCCAGAGTCAGCATTTTGGATATCGACGAGGGCGAAGCATGAGCGTGTGGCATCTTGCCGAGGCGATCACGTGCCATGCATGGAACCAGGACAAGTCCAAGGTCGCGATCTGCCCCAACACGAATGAGATCTGGATCTACTCCAACTGCCATGCGCCCGACGTGGCGCAGTGGCGCAAGGAAGCCATCCTCACTGAGGTAGACATGGCCAGCATCCTGCATCCTGCCTCACGCCAGCGTAGCACGACATGGTCGTGAGCGGCCTCGACTGGTCGCCGGTTCACGACATGATTGTCTCGTGCTCGCACGACCGGTCGGCCTTTGTGTGGAACTACAACCCGTCCGAGCGCAAGTGGAAGCCGTCGCTCGTCGTCTTGCGCATCACGCGCGCGGCGATCAACGTCAAGTGGAGCCCCGATGGTACGTCTCGCCTACATACACACGCATCGCCCATGCGGCCATGGTGCAGGCAAGAAGTTTGCCGTCGGGAGCAGTGCCAAGTGCGTGTCCGTGTGCTACTACCAAGCGCTCGACAACTGGTGGATCTCCAAGATGATCAAGAAGCACAAGTCGACGTACAGCCTCCTCCGAAGGGTGCTTGCACGTACGCTTACGTCTATGATGCTAGCGTCGTCGACTTGGACTGGCACCCCAACAGCCAGCTCCTCGTGACAGCGAGTACGGACATGAAGTGCCGTGTCTTTGGCGCGTACATCGCCGACGTCGACGAGGCGCCGGACGCAGGTCCGTTCCCGGCCATGGCGCCCTTTGGCGAGCCCATGGCAGAGTTCGACAATGCCAACGCGTGGGTCAACGCGGCTGCGTGGTCGACGCACGGCGACCGCCTCGCGTTTGCAGGCCACGGGTCGTCGATCCACTTTGTGCATTTTGGCCAGCCCGGCGAGGTCCCAACGCTGCAGGTACTCGTACTGCTACGCGATGATCCTACCTCTCATCTGCATCAACTAGTCGATTCGCTTTCCGCATCTACCGCTCACGCGTCTTCTCTTCCTCTCGAACGACGCGGTGGTCGGGTGTGGCTATGACTTCAACCTCCTTCTCTTCACGATGGACCGCAACGGGTACTGGTCGTTCTCGGAGTTTCTCGACAAAAAGTCGGCGACCCCGCCAAGGCTGCGATTGGCGGCGGCGGCTTCAACAGCAGTACGGTGGCATACATATATGTGGCATGGACGTGTCTGATGCTGGGAATGCTCTAGTGCGGCAGCAGTGGGAGAGTAAGGTGTCCCGCGGTCAATCGGCGGATGCAACGTCGGGCGACAAGGGCGCTCTGTGGACGTACGCATTGAATGATTCTGTCGTTGCCGTTTCCAACCTCTGCGTAGGAAGCACGAAGCCACGGTCACGTGCTTGCAGCCGTTTGCGCGATCGGGCAACGGCTCGATCACCGAGCTGACGTCGTCCGGTATGAAGTCTCTTCATGGACGATCATCACCCAGACATGTGTTGGTGTACTAGGCCTGGACGGCCGCATCGTCTTGTGGAAGCTCTCCAACTTGAGCTTGGACATGGCCAAGCTGCGCCTCTAGGCATAGGCCATTGATCCTCGTGGACAACTCGACCAACGAGAGCTATTGTACGAGCGCCTTCTCCTCAACACGCATGCGCCCTGTACTTCAGTTGTGTCTTCGCTCCTCATGGGCATGGTCTTGCGCCTACCTCCAGGGTGCTCGTCCGTGCTGGGGAGCTCTCGCCTACCAGTACTAGGAGGCCTTCCACTGCAGTCTCGACCTCGTCCTGGCATGTCTGTCTGGCTTGGGCGTCGTCATCTGTGCGTCTCTAGTCGACGAGACGGCACTGGCTGCCACTTGGCGTCTTGTGATTGGCGCCATACCGTAAAATGAGCACAGATGCTACAACACCTCAAGGGTCGCCGTGTCCGTGCCGAGATCAACCAGTATCCTCGTGCTTGTTACAACGCCCTCACATCCTTGCATCGCCTGAGGCCATCAACGAGTGAGCGAGCTGTTGACGAGGGTCGCCATTATTGCCGTTCGATGGCTCGGACGTTGCCGTTCTATATAACCTCTCAAACTTGATACTTGAAGCCTGCCCCTTCGTAATATACCACACATCTGTCATGGCAAATTGCAGTTCGAATTTGGCGACGTGACGAATGGCGGGCGTCGTCTTCCTCACGTACGGCGTCCTGAGCCTCTGCGTATTGGGCTTTGCTGCTGTCTTTTACGGCTCGTACTACCTCTCGGCCAAGTACTTGGGCGTCTTCCGCGCCTTCTCCGAGGTCCAGAAAGGCGAATGGTGCTCTCGGTACGACGACAGCCGGCTCCATATTGCTTGAACGATCGATATCTTTCTAGGATCAACTCGACGATTCACTCGGTAGTCATCTGCGCCGGTCTTCTCTACAGCTTTAGTCAGCAGGAATGGGACGCGCATTTGATGCCAATTCACAGCCTCGACCTCGCGATCGGTCTCTTCTCGTTCTGTACGTGGCGCAAAGCAAATACGACATGCTTGCTGATGGTGCTCCTGTGTAGCGATCGCGTACTTTCTCTTTGACTTGTACGTGGTGTACGCATGGAAGATCGAGCACTACAAGGTGTTTGTGGCCCACCACATCATTGCCATGTAATACGTTGTGGCTGTCCTTGCCCTCGCTCATGTCGTGCCATGGACGACTAGGATTCCGTATGTGCTCTACAACTTTTACGGCGGCTGCACCGTCAACACATACCTCCTGAGCATGTATCTCCTCGTCGAGATCTGCATTCCGCCCATGAACCTCGCGACGATCGTCGACCTCCTCGGCTACAAAGAGACGGTCGTGTACATTGGCCTCTTTTATGTCGCGTACGTTGCGTGGTTCTTTGCCCGCGTGTGCCTCCCGCTCTACACGCTGTACGTCATGTGGGTCGACTTCATCCCGGGCACGGACTGGAGCTCGTTCCAAGTCTTCCTCTGCACGGCGCCGCCGCTGCTGTGCGGCCACGTCATTTCGATCTTCTGCATTGGCTGCTTCGTCACGATGATCACGCCCGACGTGCTTGCGCGCTGGAAAAAACACCGAACGACGCCCAAAAAAAAACGCCGATGGCGCAGCAACAGGCGTCGGCCAAGAACTACGGGGCCCTCGAAGCGGTGTAGAGCTCATATCGTCCGCCGCCGTCGTTTAGCCGTCCCCTCGCCGACGCACAGACCACCACCACGTTGATGACGTCGCACTAATATACATGCCATATACGCGATGCCCGGCGTCTTTTAGCCTCGCGATTGTAGCTAGCGTGAAGCCACATCAATATGCTGGCGAAAGCGACGCATAAGAAAGACAGTCAAGTTGTGGCTGCATGGCCACGACCACTTTGCACCGCACGGACGATCGGTAACGTCAGCACCGTCCAATGGCGTCATACGAATCGTCCAGTTGACTATCGTAGTCATCGTTGCAGCAGCATCATGATCCTCGTAGCGTCGGTGGCTGCGCTGGCCCGAGGCGCGTGATGTCATGTTGGAGGCAGCAGCTATCGTAAGCAGCGGCCGGGCCGTCCCATGCGCGTCATCCTGCTTCAATCCTTTTGATTGGCTATCTTGCCTTCAAATCCAGATCGTTCATTGGGTATGTTCAAACGTTGCTGCTGATTGGTCCGTTCGACGTCCCACGGTCACGCCACTTGGATGCTGCTGGCGCACAACTGAAGCGTCGAGATCGTCGCCACCTGTCGCCTGCCGCCGCCTCCATACTACTCGTCCCATGCTGCCTCTTCCGACGTGCATGCAGTGGGCCAACATGGTCTGGCTCCTGCGCAAGATCAAGTTCTACGTGGTCATCAACAGCTTCATCTGCGCGATCGCGGCCGCCACGATCTGGCTCGCGGCGCAGGCCGATGAGAGTTCGCTACTCTCCGTGCTCGCGCTTCGGTACCTCGGGGTCGTCGTGCGCATCTTCAGCGTCCTCGCCTGGTTCCAATGGATCTCGTCGTTCAAGGACGTCATCCACGGCGAGAAGCGGTCGGCGCCGTCGCCCGCGCAAAACAGGCGCATCTTCGCACGCATCTTTTGCATTGTCGTGCCCACCGAGGTCATCTCCGCATCGATTGGCATCTACCTCAATCCGCCGAGTGACGCCGACTACTGGAGCTACCTCGAGGCGTACGTGTACTTTATTCCCAAGTCGCTCGTGCTCGAAGTCATTTTCGATTTTTTCCATTACGCCGCCCACTACGTCTGCCACGTCGTGCCGAGCTTGTACAAGCACGTGCACAAGCGCCACCACTTGCATTTGCACCCGACGCCGCTCTCGACGTACGAACAAGACGGCGTCGACTTGGTGCTAACCAACGTCTTGCCCATGACGCTCGCCTTTCTCTTGGGCCCGAGCGTCTCGCCGACGCAGTTGCAACTCGTGCTCGCATACAAGACGTACGTTGAGATCGCGGGCCACTCGGGGCTCGACATCAAGGGCTTTTCGTTTCCGCAGATGCCGCTTCTGTCGTCGTCGAGCATTTGTCTCCGCGTGCACGACCACGATCTGCATCATACGCACCCCAACTACAACTTTGCCAAGCGTTTTAGTCTCTGGGACAAGCTCTTTGGTACGTTCAAAGCGCCGACGACCGTATCCGCCGCCGCGTACTAGAGACAGAATATGACATGGACATCTTGTATTTGTAGTAGTTGAGTAGACTAAAGGATCGTAAAGCAGCTTGAAGATTTTGGCCATCATCGAGGGCGTGGAATTGGCCCGCTATCGTCGCTGGTTCACTCAGTTAGATAGGTCGAGTCGATCCAGCGTTTTGATTCGAGTGTCCAGACCAACTGCTCATAACGTTATTTACATGCACAGCGTCCCCATGCGATCTTGCATGTCAGAAAAGGCACTTGATGATTAAGTGTCTTGTTGATTGGCGTACAAGAAAGAGGTGCCACGCATGCTGGCGCTACCAAGTACTAGGAGTAGCAAAAGTGATGCATTTTGGACACAACATACTGTCAATTTCCCGGTTAAACCTGCGCCCATGGTAAGAACGCTGGATACACGGAGAGAGGTCGCGCACGGCAGCAAGCTCCTCTCACGCGAGAGGCTCCGATGAGCCAATCTGCGGACACGTCCACGCATGTGACGGGCTCGAAACCGGTGTCACCGCCTATTGATAGCAAAATACATGACAGTTCCTTTTCTCCGTGCATGCGGCCATGGAGCTGCCGTCGATAACGAGCCACAAGAAGATGAGCATGAACGCGATACCTCTCCAATTGGAGCCCCTCGGGTACACGCCAAAGCAAGGCGCGGGCGCCGTCGACCTCCTGCAGCAGGTACTCGCCCACCGAGAAATACAACCAACCCAGAAGCCGCGTAGTTTGACCCGCAGCTCTCGCCACCCAAATGCAAGCTCGAGAAGCTCTCGGCGCCATCGCCAGTCAAGGACAAGGTACCTTGCGTCGACGATTCGATTTGGTGTTGAGCAACGTGCGTACATAGGAGCCCGATACGATGGTGTGTCGAAAGCAGCAGCTGCAAGCGATTGCACCGAGCTGCGCGAATCTCGGAAGTTGATTCCACACTCGCACCACGTCGACGGAAGCGACGAAAGCTCGCAGCCCAAAGACGCGCTGCGAACGAACATACCGCATTTGCCCCATGACTAGAGAAGAGCTCGAGTATTCGTTGTATAGAAACAGTAGACAACGCTAGTCGGACAAGCGTGCTCGCTTGTAGGGCGGCTTCTCTTCGTCGTCGTCTTCTTCTTCTTCGTCGTCGTCCTCGTCGTCACTACTGCTCACGCTGGCCTCGCTATTGCTCTCCGAGTCGGAGGACGCGCTGGCGTCGATACAGACTTTAGGGGTCGCCGCAGGCTTGATGACAAACTGCGCTGTCGCATGCTGTGCAGTCATTTCCTTGGCCTTGGTCACAAAGAGTGCGTGGTTTTGCTTGTAGAGATCCGTCTACCAGGAGCAACCAACCGTGAGAAGAGTGCAGGCTACGGAGGCCTACGATCTCGGGCATCAAGCCATCGTCCGGGTTGGGCTCGGCCATCAAGAGGCGGATCGTTGTTAGGAGCGTCGAGAGGTTCACCGAGGGCATCCACGAGCCCTACATCCCATCAGAGTTCCTTCGCCGAACAAAGACAGTACTACCTTGGGCTGCATCTTGAGCGTGTCCAAGCAAATGCGACCGCCATTGTCAATATTCGGGTGGAAAATCGGCGTCGTAAAGTGAACTTTCGGTGGCTCGAACGGGTAGCTACGCAGTTCGGCTCATCCTACTATGGCCGTGGACGGGGGTTGAACCGCTCCGGAACCTTGATCTCGAGGAGGAAGACACCATTCTCATACGGCGTTCCTTCCGGCCCTTGGATCTCTACAAAGGATGTACATCGTCCATCCTGCCGATGTGGGCGTCGTACGGGCTTGGAGGTCGTCGAGCTTGTCGTCCACGGACCAGGCGCAGATCCCTAGCATGCATGAGTGCATCGTCCTGCGCATGGAGGAAGCATGCATCTTCCTCTTCCATCGAGGTCGACGCATGGCGGACGAAGTACCATGGGGCGGGTCCGTCTCGAGCATCTCGAGCTCCTTCCGCATGCGCGATCGCATTGCCGCCATCTTTCCGTTGTTCGGAATTTGGATATTGACTTTTGACCAATCCTCGCGCACGATATAAGCCTAAAGCCGTGATCTCAAAACCTTAGGCAACCGTCCACTGTAGCAACTTATATTTTATCATTTGACACAGGTTTGAGGCGCCGACCTGGCCACGATACATGTTTGTACCGGTACTACCGGTACACCACGTTCTTGCTGGACTGCCATCGAAGGCGTACCCTTGTTTGATCAAGGTCATGAATTAATTGATGGTGTTGCCAACATGTTGTCGATGCAGCACCGACTCGAAGCGACCTAACAGGGACAGCGGTGCGACCTAGGTTCTACATTCGCATCTGATTGGTCGGGCTCTACCCCGGCGGCCAATCAAAAGGCGCCAAAGGACACCATTGAATTGCACGTGGTCATTCGTGGTCATCTCGTCATCCTCATGAAGCTCATCGTGCCGGTTGCGCTCTTCGCCCTTGGCGCGATCTCTGCCATTGCGGCCCAGCGCTTTCTGCAGTCGTCGTCGTCGCCAGCGATCAAACCGTCGGCCCGCGACCTTCCAGCGGCCGCCACGTCGTCGTCGTCGGGCCAGGATCTCACCAACGAGCAATTCTCGCGCATCAACTCGTTCTTTGGTGACGAAGGCTTTGCCAAGATCCAGGATGCCTTTGTGATTGTGATCGGCCTTGGCGGCGTTGGGTCGCACGCCGCGCACATGCTCGCGCGGTCCGGCGTCAAGAAGCTCCGCCTCATTGACTTCGACAACGTGACGCTCTCATCGCTCAACCGACACGCTGTCGCTACGCGCGCAGACGTTGGCTTGTCCAAGGCCGCTGTGCTTAAAATGCACTTGCATGAAATCGTGCCGCAATGCGAGGTCGAGGCGGTGCCTGTCATGTTTGAGGCCGACGTCGCCGACGAGCTGCTCGCGGGTACGACGTCTTTCTCGTCCGTAGCATTCGCTCAAAACGATGTACACTATATGTGTAGGCAACCCCACGTACGTCTTGGATTGCATTGACGATGTGACGACCAAGACCGCGCTCTTGGTCGCGGCGACCACAAAGGGCCTCAAGGTGATCACCGCGACCGGCGCCGGTGGCAAGGCTGACCCGACGCGCATCCATATTGGCTCGCTCCAAGACGCTGTGCGTACGTACTTTGAAATGACGCAGCCTTGGGATTGACGAAATGAGCAGGCGATCCGTTGGCGTCCAAGATTCGGTACTTTCTCAAGAAGAAGGGCATCGACGCGTCGACCGTCACGACGGTCTACTCGAGCGAGAAGACAATTGCAAAGCTCTTGCCGCTCGACGCCGAGCAAGCCGCGGACCCCGGTGCCTTTGGCAACGTCGAGAACATGCGCATCCGCGTCATTCCTGTGCTTGGCACGATGCCGGCAATGTTTGGCCAGTCGATGGCAGCGTTTGTCCTGACCGACATGGCCGGGCTTCCCATCAAGTATAACCTTTCTCGCTATCGATCTAAGCTTCACGATTGCTCTGTGTAGCCCCGAAAACATGCCCAAGCTCGGCCGTGAGCAGCGCAACAAATTCTACCAGCAACTCCAGCAACGCGAGAAGAACCTTGGGTTTTCCCAAAAGATTGCCGTCGACAAGGTATAAGATGATATTCTCCACACACAACATGTCTCATGGATTACATAGGATGACATGGACTTTTTGTACCAAGAAGTGTGGAAGGCGCGCAGCTCCGTGAGCGGCATTCGCTGCGGTGGCGTCGACCGCACGTACATGACGCGCTGGCGCAAGGACCAACCGCTCTCGCCTGGCAATATTGTCATCCTGACGACCAAGGAGCTCAAGCAAATGGACGACCACGGCATCGAGTCCTTTGGCGACGACATTGTTGCCCGCATTGACGCCAACCTCGCTTCGTTTGGGCCCTGGGAAGTATAAGGGACAAATAGAGCATCAAACGACCCTTTCACATTACAACGCCTGGTCGGCCTCGTACTCGGCTTGGGTCATCCAGCTGCGGTGGAGCCAGAGACCGCGCGACGGCACCGACGGGCCAGGCTCGATGTTGCCGTTCAGAACCTGCGTCATGAGGTCCGGGCCGGCACGCCCTTCGCCGACGCTGCGCAAGGTGCCAATGATGCGCCGCACCATGTGCCGGAGAAAGCCGTTGCCTGTAATTTCAATGCACACGACAAAGTTCTCGTCCAGAGAGTCGGGGTCCTGCGGCAGGATCGGGCCCGTGCCCGATCGCGTCAAGTCGAGCGAAAAGTCGACATGTCTACGCAAGGGGTAGGTCTTCTCGTCTGCCAGAGGACGATTCGGTACCGACGCGGCACGACCTTGCACTCGACGATGGTCCGGAGCGTGTTCATATCGACAAAGTGGTCTTTCTGCAGCCCCATGGAAAACGTGCGAAAGTCGTGCGTCCCTGTAATGAGGCTACACCAATGTGAGGCGACATCGACCGAGTGGCATGGGACCTCAAGGCGTCGCGCAGCTTGGGCAAGTCGAGGCGCTTCCCGATGAACCACGAGTACGGCGACGCTTCGTGCACAGGCCGTTTGCCTTGCTGGATGTAGTAGACGTACTTCTTCAACTTGGACTTGGTGCGGTGCTTGAACGTGCTGGGCGGCACGATGGCCAGCGTCTGCGCCAGCACCGCGTCAGGAAGTCTAAAAAGCGGTCATCCAATAGCCTGTAGAATGCCAGGCTGGGCGTACGAGGCGTTGATCTCGCGCAACATGGTCGCAGGGTCGTGCGCCGGTGACTCGTCCAGAACGAACGTACAATATTGCTATCCGCGATCTATTCTGCCTGCAGTGTTGGGACGAGCGTACACTACCTGGAGAGCGTGCGTGCCCGAGTCGGTTCGGCTCACGGACGTGACGTTGATGCGGTCGCCTTGCGGGCGATAGATCGTCGAGACCGCGTCCTCGATGACGTCCTGCACGCTCAGCATGACCTTGCCGCCCGTCGCGGACGCTGCCTACAGCATCATGAGCCGTTCTAGAACGCCAGAGCATGGCTTTCGCACTTGTCGCTGCCAGCCCACGAAGCCCGTGCCGTGGTACGACACCATCATGATGAACTTGGTGCGCCCCGGACCCGCCATCGTTGCCAATGATGACAAGCGAATGGGACGGGCACCAGATGGGCTATTTCCACCCAACTTTAGCATCATGCGTGGACTGGAAGCCAAGGACATCCAAGCGCTGTCAGGCATCGACGCAATAACGACGAAGGTAGATATGTATACTACCGTTGCCGGGGCAATAACAAGCACTCGACCGCATGGAGATCACGCCCATGGAAACGACATGTCATAGCATGGCGTGGCGTGTAAAGAGGCGTGCGTTTAGATTCGCGTAGAAAGTGCATTGTCGAAGAACAAAAACCGGAAACGGCGCGAGTAGTCGTCCTCCACGCGCACTCTTCGTTGTCGACGCTTCCGTGCATGGGTATTGTTTGCAGCTCGGCCGAGTCGGTCGTCGAGTCCCTCGACACTCCCAAACTCAGCCGCTCCAAGAGTCTTAGACATCCACAGCGCCGCCGACGGCTTTCGTTGGGGTCGTCCACGCTCGTCGAGCTCTGCTTGGACCGCCTTGCGATCGAGCTGGCCTCCGCGCCAACCTCTGTGGATACTACGGCATTACCGTCAGAGCTCTTTGGTGCGCTTCTCCGTCGGCTCGTGGCGCACGAAGTGCTGACGGTCGAGTTGTTTGCGCTGCTTGGCGAGTCGCTCCCGCTGGGCACGCGCGTCGACCTCTCCGACTGCGCTAACGTCAACGAGGGCTGGCTGCAAGCTCTTGCGCCTTCTATCGCAGCGTCGCTGACGCACATTGACTTGACGCGTTGTGCCGGCGTCGAAACGCTGGGTCGCGAGCCGCTCGTCGCGCTCCGCGTCGCCAAGCTGAGCCATTGCAAGAACTTGTCGCCGTTGGCACTGCACCCGCTTTCCAATGCGACGCGCTTGACTGTACTACACCTCGCGGGGTGTGCTCTCTTGCGCAACGAATCGCTCGGGCACCTCTGGGCGTGCACGCAATTGAATGAATTGGACTTGGTACTTGTGCTGGATTCCTGTAGTTCGCTCTGGTATTCATCGTGATTAGTCACAATGCACCTCGATCTCGGACACGGGTTTGTTTGTTTTGCCGTCAAGTCTTCGGCGACTCAACTTGAACCACTGCTCTGGTATCTCGGACAGGGGCGTGCTGGCGGTCGTGACGGGTCTTGTATCGCTCTTTTCGCTCAACCTTGGCCAATGCAGCATCACGTAACCTATTCGTTGATCAACGAGTGACGGAGCCTGCGTCTAGAAATGGTGCCCTGGCGATGCTTGCTGTCCATGCGCATCAGCTACAACACTTGGTGCTCTCGGGCTGTCGCGCTGTTGACCAGTCCGGCGTCAACTTACTCGGCTCGCTCACAGAGCTGGTTTCGTTCGAAGCAAGTCAGTGCCGCCTTGTTCAGAGTCCCCACACTGCGTGGGGTAGTTTGACAGCACTCGATTTGTCCAACTCGGGTGTCGACGAGGCCGGTTTGGCGGTGTGGTTTGCATGACCCAGAAACGTTTTCTGTACGTGTCTCGCGTAGGCCATTGGGTCACTGGAGACGCTCACGTCCCTCGACGTCTCGCAAAGTCAGGCAACAGCAACGTGTGTGCTTGAGATCGCTTGCGCATGTACGCTCATCCGAATCGGCGTAGTGCATTCCAGTACCTGAAATCGCTCTCGCGCCTGCGGTACTTGAAGGCCGCGCGCACAAGGCTCGACGATGCGACCTTCCATATCCTCTGCGAGCACTTGGCTTCCCTTGAGGATCTCCATGTGGCCCACACGAACGTCTCCGACATGGGCGCACGAAGTCTGCCGCATCTCAAGCGCCTTAGAAGCTTGGTGCTGAGCACGGAAGGCATCACGTACCACAGCGTATCGTCCGTGGGCTCGCTGCATCAGCTCACGAGCTTGGATCTCTTTGGTGCAAGGTGCGTGTCACCAGTGCTATGTCCGCCCATGATCCTCGGTGCGTAGTATTGCTGACCGAGGTCTTGAGTGCCTCGCCAGTTTGCAGAGTCTGCGTCGCCTCGTGCTCTGCGGTGGCTACCTCACCGACCGCGGCGCAGGCACGCTAGCGTCGTCTGCGCCACACTTGACGGAGCTCAATGTGAGCCACAATAGGTCGTGCACTGTCCCACTTTTTCGTCAATTGAATGGATGCTGTAGAGAGTTGCGGGGCGCTGGTGTGCAGTGCTTGGCGCAACTGCTTGGACTCAAAACGTTGAATGTGTCCAACACGAGCATCGACGCTGCGTCGCTCGTCTACCTTCAGCGTACACGACCTTTTGTCGGACCAAAACCGCTGTTATGACAACGACTGGTAGCACTGCAGCATTTGGAAACGCTGCTCGCGTACGGCCTTGTGCTCACACGAAAGGAGGTTGCCGCTTTCATAGGTGCGTCTTCCTTTGAGGTGGTATCGCGAATGCAATGTCAAGACGTATTGTGATGGCCTCTTATGCGAGTGCGATAGACGCCATGCCAAGCCTGTGCTTGTTCCGTTGCAGCCACTGACGCTGATGGCACGGCGTTCGGGCTCTGTTTACCTCCTCACCTCCTAATCTCTTTCACGTAACGAAAAGCAGTAGCAGCAAGTTGTTTGCGACCAACTAGAGCTATGTGGACGCCCAAGATCGCTCGGATATTGACAAGCAAATAAATCCAGCAACGGATCTTCCGTGGCGACCCGCATGGTGTATGCAAATCCGATGCGTCGACGCGCCTGCGTCGTCTTGCATGTTCCTACTGGAATACCCAAGCGTTGAGATCCATCAGAAAAGCATCGATGGTCGAGGCGTCGCGACGTCGACGCTACGTCGTGGTATCCATTGGTCGCTACTGGGCCGTGACGTCATCGGGTCCGCCTTGGCCCGTAAAAAGTGCATCATCCCACTTTTTGTACCCGTCCCCCCACCCAGGCCCTATCATTCCGAAATTGCATACTTTTTATTATGAAAAGAGACCTTGGCTGGGTAGGGGGTCCATCCCGAACACAGGGCAAAGTCGTTGAAGTGGGCCATTTTCGGATTTGCCATGGCCGACGGCAGCAGCGACGCGACGCGCAATGCGATCCTTCTCGTCATGGTGACCATCGTGGTCACCAAGGTGCTCGACGTGCTCTACAAGCGGTACCAGGCTGCGCAGAAGGCCAAGCTCGTGACTCTCCAGCCGGACGCGACGGTCATGCTCGAACTCGTCGAGAAGGAGGAACTCTCGGCCGACACGCGCCGCTTCCGCCTCGCATTGCCGTCGCCCGAGCATGTGCTCGGCCTTCCGGTCGGCCAGCACATCTCGCTGCGCTACACGGACGCCGAGGGCAAGCTCGTGCTCCGCTCGTACACGCCCGTGAGCTCGGATGACGTCAAGGGTTACGTCGACCTCGTCGTCAAGGTCTACTTTAAGAACGTGCACCCCAAGTTCCCGGACGGTGGCAAGATGTCGCAGTACCTTGAGAACATGGCGATCGGCGACCGTATCGAGGTCTCGGGCCCCAAGGGCAAGCTCACGTATGTCGGCAAGGGCGAGTGCCACTTCAAGCACCGCGTCAAGGACACGACCATCGAGGTGCGCAAGGCGACTAAGATTGGCATGATTGCGGGTGGCACCGGCATCACGCCGATGCTCCAGGTCATCCGCTACGCGCTCCGGGACCCAAGCGAGACGACCGAGTTCCACATTTTGTTTGCGAACCAGACCGAAGACGACATCTTGCTGCGTGACGAGCTCGACGCGATGACGCGCAACTACACAAACGTCAAGGTGTGGTACACGGTCGACCGCCCGAAAGACAACTGGGCGTTCTCGAGCGGCTTTGTCAACAAGGAGATGCTCGCCGCGCACATGCCGGCGCCGGGCCCGCACACGCAGATCTTTATGTGCGGCCCGCCGCCGATGCTCAAGTTTGCCGTCATGCCCGCGCTCGAGGAGCTTGGGTACACGCCCGGTATGCTCTTTACCTTCTAAAGCACTGCAATTGACGTCTTAAAGCGTTTGCAACATGGATTTTCAACACATTTTTCCATTTTTTACACATTTCTGGGGTTTTGGCGAAGATCTTGATGTGTTGATCACTATAACAATCGCACAGGCAGGACCCTGTCCCTGCAGATGCGCTGATGGCGTCTTGTTCGCAGCCCTCGCTTCGTCTCGCCTCGAGGGACGCCACCGCAGTTCTCGGCTTGTTGACAGTTTATTGGTGGAAAAGACCTATCTGAAGTGGCACTTTCGACCAATCCTGCTGCCGCACAAGGAGGCTATGATAAGTACGCCCCAGATACATATTCTACCGGCGCAGTTACCCAGGTCGTCACGTCAGCCCGTTTAAGTGCGATTGAAGTTGACTAAGATTGCGATCTTACAGTCCACAGAACACGCCATGGCGATGCGACTCGTCGCGAGTGTACGTAGATTGACGATCTAAACATGCAGAAAGAAGTCCGGGGCGTAGGTAGTTTTCTATGTGGCCGCGACGTCGTCGGGTCACACGTCGCTGCGCGTTTTGTGGCCACCGCCGCACTACCTCGTCGAGACGCCAACCGTGCCGATCGCGATTGCGGTCGATGGTCCGACGACCGATGGGCACATTCGCTTGACAGGACACAAGCTGCGGACTACATTTGCCATGCAGGCGCCCGGAGCTGTCATCGGAAACATATATCTTGGGTCGCATCATGTTGTGGTGGAGGCCCTCAGCGCCAACTTCACACCGATTAGCGCACCCATCGTGCTCTACATTGAGCGCATCCCGTCCCGTGCCGAGCTATACCGAGACACAGGTCGATCCAAGATGGCGCTGCTGGCGCTGCCGTCGGCCAAGGCGACGCGTCCCACTTCAAGGACGCTCTGTTTCGGAGGGGCGTCGTCGCCAATGGATGGCCAAAAGCGGCTTTGGCTGCGGCTCATCGCGTCCCTTCGAGCGCATCCAACCGTCGACTACTCGTTCCACGTACGTCAACTCCGTGGGTCAGCAATTTGATGGAAGGCCATAGATCTTCCTGCTCGAGCCCAAACCAGTCCATTCCACAGACGTCTTTACAGCACACGGCTTGAACGTGACGCACGTGCCCATGATGGTATTGCGTCTATTTCCATTGTTGTAATAGTCGTCGATGTACAAGTTGTCACTATCGCGTCTAGGTCTCCCGTGAAGATATTGCCCGGTACGACATCACACACGAAAAGATTATGGCCGCGCTCGCCGACTTTGCGGACGCCGAAAATCGAACGACGTTTCCATCGTACGTTCATTCGCTCTGGGCATCGCTCGTTGCTGCCTTTGCGCCGTGCAAAGGAGGAGTGCTGAGCTACCCCAACTCGGGCAGCCATGACGATCGCGTCTGGGCCGGTCTCGGTCGCGCTGCCGGCGCTGCAGGCGTCGTTCTCGAGCTCTCGGGCGTGTTGCCTGTGTCACACACGGTCGATCTGCTCATTGGGCCGTCACAATACACCCTCGCACATCCCAGTGTCGTAAATGCGATGCGCGCCGACATGCGAACGGTGATTCCGCCCGGCGTTGATCCGACGATCTTTGCCCCCCGCGCCCGCGGCCATAGTACTAATCGCTGCGTCGTCGTCGGGTATCTCGGTCGCCTTGTTGCTGAAAAATCTCTCGGACTCCTTGCACGCGCCGTCGAGCTCCTTACGCAGACGAACATGACCTCGTCGTGCGTGACCTTCCGCTGGGTCGGAGACGGCGCTGATGCCAAATACTACAAGCGGTACCCGATCACGTTTCTCGGAAGCATCGACGACGAGGCGGCGCTTATCCACGAGCTCCAGTCGTGGGACGTGGCCGTGCAGCCAGGCCTCCAAGAGACATTTTGCATCGCCAACTTGGAAGTCATGGCCGTGGGGTTGCCGCTCGTGACCTTTGGCGTCGCTGGCGTCGCCGAGTACGTTCGGCACGAGGAGAACGCGTGGGTCGTCGACGAGATTTCTCCGCAAGCACTCGCCGCGGCGATCGCGCTTTTGGCGGACGATCCGATTTTGCGACGCCAGCTCGGCGATGGCGCCCGACGCACGGTCGAGACGCGGTATACATGGGCCCACACGGTGGCCGCGTACGACGAGGCGTACGGGCGTCTCATTGGCAATGCCATTTACAAGCCCTAACGCGTGTGCGCGAGCTGTCGCTGTTGTTTTCACGCAAGCTGACATCGTGCTACGCCGTGCTACGTCGTGGTGGACTTGATTGTTTACGCAATTGGATTGCAACGCAGACGCGTTTGATGGAAAACGGATGGTTGTGGGCATCCATGGCTTAGTCTTTGACCGGAAAGAGTCGCTTTGGCGCATCTTGCATTGAAATTACGTTATCTACACTGGAAATGGTGGTTTTGGAACCATCGATGGATGGCACTGTAGGCTTTTTCTGGTGTGCACCGGTACAGTACCGTCCGTACAATGGAAAATGTCAAAACTGGGTGAACGGTGGTCCAAATCAACCCAAAACTGGGTAAATTGCATAAAAATACATAGACTTGGTTTTACTATGGAGTGACAAATATGGCACGTGGTGGCAAGCCTCGGCGTCTTCACATGCCTTCTCCTCCTACGCCTCCTTGCCCGCAAACAAGACCTGTGCAACAATCCTTTAACCTTCCTCGATACCTCACATCACCCCACCTTCCCTTCCCTGCGACTACCTTGCCAAAAAACCCGAATACCCTGCCGGAAACTTAAGTGAATGGCTATTTTTTCTCCAAATTCATGTGTCGACGCAGTTTTTACCCAGTTCTGTCATTTTCCCTACCGTTCAACGTTGAGAACAGTGTTGTTGTTGATGAAATGAGTCCTCTCGTTATATTACGGATTAAGGGTCCTATTTCTAGGGTCGTCCTACCACCAACCTAATACCCGGTAGGCACGAGTTACCGGCATATGCCGTTTTCATCTTGCTTCTTCCGAGTGTTCCTTGTGGCACTTGCCGAGCGTGGCCTTATTATGGTGACCGTCTTCAGTGACATTCGTGTCCGGATGGGGGGGAGTCCGGATAGAAAAATCGGCGACGTTGAGAACAGTGTTATGTCGCACACAGGTATTGTTTTAATCGCATACAAATACCAAGCTATAAAACTAGGGCGCTGCGCCGATTGTCGCACTTAAAAAGACCCGCACCCACTGTAGCACCATACGTGCCTCGAGTCCACAGAAATATTAATAGTACTACAATTGCATTAATACATTGGCCATGAGAAACCGGTGGGTAATTAATTCAATTGACATATCCATTTCCTTGTCTTGTTTTCAGAATGCGCGACGCGACCCAGTCGTTGCGATCGTCGTGGACCACAAACACAAAACCCAATGGCTGGCAGTCTCGTCGCGAGGCTCGTGCGTCGTTCTTTGGTAACCAAACAAACTACTCGGGGCAGAAAAAAACCTGGCGTGTAGGCGATGCTGCTTGTCGTCGGCCGCACGACGTCGTCGGCTCACACGTCGCTGCGCGTTTTGTGGCCACCGCCGCACTACCTGATCGAAACGCCCGAGGTGCCGATCGTGATTGCGGTCGATGGCCCGACGACCGATGGGCACATTCGCTTGACAGGATGCGGGCTGCAGGATATGCTTCCCATCCAGACGCCCAAAACTACGTTCACAAACATCTATCCCGGGTCGCATCATATTGTGGTGGAGGCCCTCAGCGCCAACTTCACACCGATTAGCGCACCCATCGTGCTCTACATTGAACGCATTGCATCCCGTGCCGAGCTGTACCGAGACACAGGTCGATCCAAGATGGCGCTGCTGGCGCTGCCGTCGGCCAAGGCGACGCGTCCCACTTCAAGGACGCTCTGTTTTGGCGTGACATCGTGGCCAATGGATGGCCAAAAGCGGCTTTGGCTGCGGCTCATTGCGTCCCTTCGAGCGCATCCAACCATCGACTACTCGTTCCACGTACGTCACCTCCGTGGGTCAGCGATTCGATGAGAATTCATAGATCTTTCTGCTCGAGCCCAAGCCAGTCCACCCCACAGACGTTTTTACAGCGCACGGCTTAAACGTGACGCACGTGCCCATGATGGTATTACGTCTATTTCCATTGTTGTAATAGTCGTCGATGTACAAGTTGTCACTATCGCGTCTAGGTCTCACGCGAAGATATTGCCCGGTACGACATTACACACGAAAAGATGAGGGTCGCGCTCGCCGACTTTGCGGACGCCGACGATCGAACGACGTTTCCATCGTACGTTCATTCGCTCTGGGCATCGCTCGTTGCTGCCTTTGCACCCTGCAAAGGAGGAGTGCTGAGCTACCCCAACTCGCGCAACCATGACGATCGCGTCTGGGCGGGTCTCGGTCGCGCTGCCGGCGCTGCCGGCGTCGTGCTCGAGCTCTCGAGTGTTAGGCCCACGCCGCACACGGTCGATCTGCTCATTGGGCCGTCCCAGTACACCCTCGCGCACCCCAGTGTCATAAATGGGATGCGCGCCGACATGCGATCGGTGATTCCACCCGGCGTCGATCCGACGATCTTTGCCCCTCGCGCCCGCAGCCATACTAATCGCTGCGTCGTCGTCGGGTATCTCGGCCGGCTCACCCTCGAAAAATCCCTCGGGCTCCTCGCACGCGCCGTCGAGCTCCTTACGCAGACGAACATGACCTCGTCGTGCGTGACCTTCCGCTGGGTCGGAGACGGCGCTGATGCCAAATACTACAAGCGGTACCCGATCACGTTTCTCGGAAGCATCGACGACGAGGCGGCGCTTATCCACGAGCTCCAGACGTGGGACGTGGCCGTGCAGCCAGGCCTCCAAGAGACATTTTGCATCGCCAACTTGGAAGTCATGGCCGTGGGGTTGCCGCTCGTGACCTTTGGCGTCGCTGGCGTCGCCGAGTACGTTCGGCACGAGGAGAACGCGTGGGTCGTCGACGAGATTTCTCCGCGAGCACTCGCCGCGGCGATCGCGCTTTTGGCCGACGATCCGATTTTGCGACGCCAGCTCGGCCATGGCGCACGACGCACGGTCGAGACGCGGTATACATGGGCCCACACGGTGGCAGCGTACGACGAGGCGTACGGGCGTCTCATTGGCAGTGCCATGTACAAACCCTAACAAGTGTGCGCGAGCTGTCGCTGTTGGTGAAAACGTGCTAGTGCCGACTCGCAAGCAGGCATCGTGCTACGTATCGTCGTTTTACCACGTTGATTTTACATATTAACGCAGACACAATGGATGTGCTTGATTGATTGATTGCTTGATTGATTGTCTGTCTCGTGGACTGAATGAAAGATGGATGGAATAGAAAAGTTCGGTCTGCGTTTTGTTGTTGATGGCTAGCCCTTCTTTTTCCCTGGGGACGACAATGGCTTCTTCCCATCGCTCGACGCCGTGAGCCCCATGGACGTGTCCAGCTCGCCGACGTCGTCGAGGTCGGCGAACGATGCGCGCTTTTGTATCCGCTTCTTCTTCTTGTCTTGGTCCAGAAGCACTTGCTTGGAGGCTTTCTTGACGCGATCGCGTGACAGCGCATCGTCGTTCTCGTCCATCGCCATGTCGTCGCCGTCCCCATCGTCCGGGAGGGGCCCATCCCCCGGCAGCGGGATGCGTTGGTTATAAGGACGTGCGAGGCCAACGCTGAGCTCGGCGTCCGCGGCGTCCAGCACTTCGGTCTCGTCGACTTCATTTTTCACGGGCTTTTGGGCGCGCACCGCGGCCGCATGCATGAGCGTCAAGATGTTGGTCAGCGTCACTTCGCTCTGGTGGAGCGCCTCGACAATGGTGTCGTCGCCGACATGGATCGCCTTGCCATCTTCCCGCACCTACCACCATGCATCCGACGATCGATGCAGCCGTTGATAGGATGACGCCGTACCGACTCGATCTTGTCCACCAAGTGCTCGACGCCGGCCTTGACGCTAATGAGGATCTTGGCGACGCGCTCGTACTTGAGGCGTGCGCGCTCGAGCTTGGCGGTCGCAACGTTGAGGTTGGCTTCGTGGTCGTCGACCATTTTGCGCCGGTGGCCGCCGCCGCTCCCGCTGTACTTGAGCTCCTCGACGTGCGTCTTGAGATGGACGTGTTCGGCTTGGAGCGCCTCGAGCCGCGCTTGGTTTTCTTTTGTCAACATCATGAGGTTCTCGGTCGTGCCTTCCTGGCTCACGATCTTTTGAATGACTTCGTTCACGTCCGTGACGCCCGTGGCTTCCTTGATTTTGCGGAACGCGGTCTCGAAAATGTCAATCTTGGTGCGATGTTCCTTCTTCTCTTCGCTCATGCGGACGTGCGCAATGTTGTGGACAGCGAGCGACTGCCGCATGACGACGGCTTCCTCGTCGTCTAAATGCGCGGCTTCGCCCGACACAATGTCGGTCTTGAGCTTCTCGCGCTTGTCGAGGCGGGCGTTCATATCGAGCTTCATCTTGACGACTTGCTGCTTCTCCCGGAGCTCCTTCTCGCGCAACCGGCGCTCCTCTTCGTAGTTGGACCGAACGCGCTCGAGTTCGAGGAGGGTGAGCTCCTTGGCGTGCGCCGCATCGTTCGAGAGCATGACCAGCTCTTCGTAGTCGTGGTTCTTGGCCGCCGCCGCGCGCTCGATCGCCGCGAGCTGGTTGTCAAAGCCAATGCGCTCTTCTTTGAGGCGCTTGACGATCTGCTCGTACGTCTTGCGAATGCTCTGCGCTTCGTTGTACTTGATCATTGCTTTGTCGAGGCGGTTCTCGAGCATACGGATCTTGCGTGTCTCGGGCGTGTCTTCCATGCTCGGCTTCTTGCTCTCGAGTTCGAGGTCCTTGACATTGTCCTAGGTACGAGTAGTGGACAAGCTGTCCATACTCGTAAAGATCAAGTACCTTGAGCTGCTCGAGGGTGTCGACTTGGGCCGCGACCTTGTGCCGCACGTCGTCGTACTGCTTGCGGCACTTGGTCAAGTGGTGTGCAATCTGGGCCGTCTCGTCGTCGAGGTCGTTGCCGCCCATCACGTTGCCGGCGGCGTGCTCCGACTAGGCGCCAAATAAGAAAGCAATAAGAAACCGGAGGCATCGTACACGCTTCATGTCGGCAATCTGCTTGCGGAGCTCCTTGTTTTCTTGCTTGAGCTGCCGGATAAGATCTTTGTTGGAGCTCTTGTTGGCTTCGAGCGCCTCGACGTTGTTCTTGCGGTCGACCTCTACACGCGGTGAGTGGATCGGTGCAGCTCACGCATCGTACGCAAGAGGCGCATCTTCTCGCGGAGGTCGTCCACTTGCTCCTCCATGCGACTGTCGTAGTCGAGTTCCATCTTTTTGAGCATTGTCTTGGAGTCATGGCGCTGCATGGTACCGGTAGGACGACTGCGGCAACAGAAAACGACTGCGGCGCGTGCGTTTCGACCCAACCCTCGAAACGCCCTCTTCGATCCCAATTCCAATTTAGTCAATCAAACCATGACAGGCGTCACGCTTGCGACTCGGTCTGCAGTGCTGCAGAGTCCTGTGTCTCGGGAATTCCTTCGTTGCGCATATCAACTCTCATCGACTCCTTCAATCATGAGCCAGAGTGAGAACCGATTCCTTTCAAGTGAGTCGTCTCTTCGTTCCTATTTTACTTTTTGGCTGGATTGGGGTGACGCCATTCCAAAGACAACCTGGTGCCGTAGCGGAGCGGCCTACCGAGGTGCCCGCAAGGCCATGGCGCGCTCCGGCGTGCTCTGTGCTCTGTGTCTTACGTCCATTGTTGTGGAAGTGCCAGTCGCTGGCAGCGGTCTGTGGTCGCGCCGATGGCGCCGCTCTTCGCGCGCTCGGCACCCATGCCCCTCGACGATTCAAGGCCCGTCGAGTTTCTCGGCAGCCGTCAAGGAGATGAGACGTCGCTGTTCCTACCGTGCTTTCGGCCCGCGGCGTCGGCTCTGTGTGCTTCGTCGGTCTCCGGATTGCACTAATGTGACGTCAACGCAAAAGACCTGTCTTTGGGCGTGCCACAATCCTGCAAGAAGCACATACGAGGCGAGTCATTCCAAGAGATTAATTAGACCGCACCGACGACGAGGTAGCAAACGAGGCAAAAATATCGGCGATGACTTCTTCTTGAAAGATCAAAAGCGCATGCGTCGCGTGTGGCACCAAGTCGAGCGTGGCATTCGGAACTGCAGCGACAAATTCGATCGCGGCTTTCCTCGGGACGAGCGTGTCCTTCTCGCCGTGGACCACGTGGACGCGAACGGTCACATCCGTGAGCTCAAAACCACAGCCATTCCGGTCCTTCCCGAGACAGAGCAGCGCGTCGTGGTACGCATTATGGGGCTCGGCGTCCATGCGCGCGCGAAAGTCGCCAAACCGGAGCCGCGGCGAGCTGCTCAGCGGCACCGCCTCGGTGGTCTCGTGGCCGCTGTCGTCGGCGAGCAAAAGGCCATGGCCTAGCGTGCGGACCGACTGGTTGGGGTCGACATAAGCCATGCTCAGGTCGACCGACGCGTTCACAAGCTTCATGCCAGCGGCAATGAGCCGCGTCGGGCAGTACGACGCCATCTTGAGTAGTCGCGGACACGACCGGTTCGAGATACCGACCCACGGCGAAAGCAGTGTGAGCGGCTCGATGAGGCGTGATGCGAGTGCCTTTTGGCTCGCGATCGCCAACGCGTAAATGGCGCCGGCCGACTGCGCCATGAGTCCGAACTGGTCGATCTGCAGCTGCGCGAGCACTTGGTCGAGGATGTCGACAAAGGCAATGGGCGCTGGCAAGCTCGAATCCGCGATCGGGTCCGAGAGGCCGTAGCCCGGCCGGTCGATGCAGAGGAGGCGGATGCCATAGAGGAGCGCGAGCTCCTTAAAGAGGTAGATGAAGTGCCGATGGCCGCGCATGCCCAAGAGGCAGACGACGGGAACACCTTTGGCGTCGCCGACCTGGGCGTAGCTCACATGGCGCCCGTCCTGCAGCGTGATGAGGCCATTGTAGTCGGGCCCGTCAAGGACGCCGCCACTCATCTCAGTCTTTTCGGATGTTGGGACACGTCATCTCGATAGGGATTGGTCATAATTACTGCTTTCTCTGGGATATGATTGGCCATGCCAGCCGGATGCAATGCTGCGATCTTCGACTGACTCGAGATGCCAATCAAATCAAGATGGCCAGGCACAAAGAAACACACACACGACACGTCGATAAAACTCAATAAGACACTAGTAAGTAAGCTTAGTCGCGACACGTCTATCGACAGAAACGCTCGGTTACAAAGAGCTAAAGGTCGTCTTGGCGCCCACGCGGCCGAAGACATGGTCCATTGTGTCGTCGTCAAACGGAAGCAACGAGTGGGTCGCGCCGGGGACGACCTTGAGCATGCCGATTGGAACGCTCGCGACAAGCTCCTGCGCAGCTTGGAGAGGTACGAGCGTGTCCAGCGCAGCGTGGACCACATAGATCGGCACGCGGACGTCGGCGAGAAGCACGCCGTACCCGCGCGGGTCCTTGCCAAGGCCGAGCTGCACGTCGTGGTCGAAGTTGTTGGGCTCTGCGTTGATGCGCGCGCAGAGCTCTTCCATCAAGAGCGGGTCGGCACTCGCCTCGACGTTGCGGAGGATGCGCACGGTATGGCTACCATTGAGGTGCGTCATGCTCACGTTCATCGAGCCAAGAATGAGCTGTACGCATCTCGAAATGGTAGGCGGTGGCAACCACGACGCAGCTTTCAGTAGCCAAGGAACCGGGCTGCGTGGGCGCCCAACCACGGCGCGATGAGGACGACGGGCGATAGGATGCGCGTCGCGAGGCGGGTGTCGGCAGCGATTGCGACCGCATACATGGCACCGGCCGAGCCACCGACGAGACCAAACTCGTCAATTCCGAGGACGTCGAGGAGCGCCCCGACAAGACGGGCAAACGCAATGGGTGCAGGCGTCGAGTTGCCAGCGGCCAGCGGGTCCGAGAGACCGTACCCGGGTCGGTCGATCCCAAAGAGCCGAATCTTGTGCTTGCACGCCAGGGCTTTGTAGAGGTACGTAAAATACCGATGGCCGCGTATGCCGAGAAAGCATAGCACGGGACGCCCGCTGGGGTCGCCAACGACCGCGTAGCTCACGCGGTGGCCACTGGGAACGGTCACCACGCAGTTGTAGTTTGGCGCGTCCAGAGCACACGTCATATTCACAGTCAAGCAATGGGTCTGTGATTGCGTCTGTGAGTGCCTGACGTCACCCGAGGTGCGTCACCGAGAAGGGAAGCTTGTCACGTCAACAAAGGAGGCCTGGTCGGTGCATATTAGCGCCAAAGGGGCGCACCACACCGACGCGTCGACACACGCCCGAACGAGCCTCTCAAACTTCGGCGGGAAGGGCCGCTCCTACGCTGATAGCTTGGAAGGATGAGAGATGGCGCGAATCTTGTTTACTTGACCGTCTGCATAGATACTCGAGAGAACAATCTCAGACGTCTTTGTAGCAACCACACCAGAGTGTACTAGGGGCCATCAGCTCGCACCTCGCAAATGCTTTCGAATCGGACAGAAAATCGCCACGTTTTCAGGTCGACGGATACAATTCTTATCTAACTGCAGCTTGTCGATGGCGCAAAGGCATCAAACGCGGGCTCGATGCCCGTCTTGTAAAAGTCGGTAAAGCCGTGCGACGTCTCGGGCACAATCGTGATTGTGGCGCCCTGGACGCTCGCGACAAAGCTGACGGCGGCGTCAATGGGCACCATGCCGTCCGCGGCGCCGTGGACAACGTGGAGCGGGACGCGCAGGTCCGTGAGGACATCGTAGCCGACGCCGCGCGGGTCCTTCTCGAGGCACAAGAGTATGTCGCCGTATGCGTTGTGCGCTTCGGTGGCGGCGCGCGCCCGGAGCTCGCCAAATGGCATGAACGCGCCCGTGCCGAGAAGGGCCATCTCATCTCGCGCGCTCGACGCAGCGCTCCATTGCATGGAGACGTCCATGATTTTGACGGCGGCCGCGAGCACAGGCCGAGGCGCGTAGGATGCTGCGTGCAGAGCGCGGGACGTCCTCGAGTTCCGAAGGCTGACCCACGGCGAAAGGAGGACAAGTGGTGCCACGAGGCGCGGTGCCAAATGGCTCTGCGATGCCACTGCCATCGCATAGAGTGCACCCGCCGACTGCCCCATGACGCCAAAGCGACCGATTTGCAGCTCGTCCACAAGTGCTTGGACAATGCGCGTGAAGGCGATCGGCTCGGGCGTCGCTGCGTCGTACGGCAGCGGGCTCGAGAGACCGTAGCCCGGGCGGTCGATGCACAAAGGCGAAGGCCGCGCTGGCGGGCGACGGCCTCGACGAGCACGGTCGCGTGGCGATGGCCGTGCATGCCCAGGAAGAGCAGCACAGGCAGACCGTCTTGCGCGCCGACGTCGGCGTAGCTCACAATGCGCCCATCCGCAAGGCGCAGCGTGCGGTTGAAGGCGTTGTCGGCCAAGCAGTTCGTCGTCATGTCGCCCGTCCAGGGTCAATACAACCCTTGACGTCCGTCTGGTCCGACGTTCTTCATGGCGTTTGATTGGCTGTTGAAATGGAGATGGGGCAATCATTCGTAACTCGAGTTGCTGCCATGCAGGCTAGGGCGCACTGGGGCATGGTCAGACAGACGTACACATTCCGTTGTTGGTTGGGTATAGTTGTGTTGCATGTCGGAAACGGACTTTTTTAGATTGAGATTGGACATTCAATCGCCAAAACGCAGTCTATGAGAAAGTTTGAGGGAGTCGTGTTTTTGTATTACCATGTGCTCTAGAACAACACGGCGTTCGATTAACTCGGCACACGTGTGCTACCGTGAGAGGTGGGCTACGTAGATGGGCTCGAAGCGGCGACGTCGACCGCTGCGCGTCACTTGACAAAAAAGATAAAAGAGCTGCATGGTTATCAGAGTTACGGGGCCCGAGAATACTGGGCAAAGACTCTATCCATCGCCGGTTCGTTCAAGCCAAGGTTCGAGTGCGTAGCGTCTGGCACGAGCTCGAGCGTCGCGTTGGCCATCGCCGCTACAAAGTCCAGCACCGCTGCGACCGGCACCATAGCGTCCTTCTCGCCATGGACAACATGTACATGGGCTGTGATCGTCGTAGCGTCGTAGCCGACGCCCCGCGGGTCTCGTCCGAGGCACAGGAGCACATCGCCAATCGCGTTCTGGGGCTCTGTTGAAATCGTCGCGCGGAGATCGCCGAGGCACACGTGACGTGGCATCACGGGCGACGTTTCGTCACTCTCGTCAATATCATCAGTCTCGTGGGCACACAGCACGGGCACAGACGTGTTGGCCCCAAGGTACGACATGCTTACGTCCATGGACGCACTCAAGCAGCCGACGCCCGCGGACAGCAGAGCGTTGGGACAGCACGACGCGAGCTTGAGCAGGAACGGGCTCTTCTCGACGCCGACCCACGGCGCGAGAAGGACGACGGCGCCGGCAATGCGGTCCTTCAGCGCATCGTTCGCCGCGATACCAAGCGCGAAGAGGGCCCCCGCCGACTGCCCCATGAGGCCAAACGTCGGGATACGGAGCATGTCCAAGAGCTCGTGGAGGATGTGAGCAAACGCGATGGGGACGGGCGTTGCGTCGTCGGAAGGGTCCGAGAGGCCATACCCTGGGCGGTCGATGCAGAGGAAGCGCACTCCGTGCTTGGCAGCGAGCGCGTGGAAGAGGTAGGCGTAGTGCCGGTGGCCATGCATGCCCACGAGGCAGACGACCGGAAAACCGTCGCCGACGTCGGCGTAGCTCACTTGCCGCCCGTTCGCGAGGCGCGCGACCTTGTTGTAGGCGTCCGAGGCGAGGACGCTTGCCATGAGTTGGAGTCGTTGAGATGTGCGCAGACAGGCGCTGGCCGATGCACCGCAGAGTGATGATCATACAAACCAACACTCTAGCATGGTGACAAAGCAGCCCGCAGCCCATCCGTTTCATGACGTGGCAGCGCGAGCGGCACGAGACGGTTCCGCGAGAGGCCAACATGCGCGTCGAGTTGCCGCAGACGCATGCGAGGCTCATTGTGCAGTGTAGCAACGAGGACGGCGCGCGGTACCGGACACAGTCTCCATTGCAGATGCTTGCGATGTGGCTTCATGTACTCGAGCACTTGAATGGCAAGCACTGGGTGAAAATAGGGTGCGACTGCAATAATTTTGAAGGACTGGCTGGACGTCTGCAGTGCTTTTTCCAACATATGGGGTCTTGTCACAGTACAGTGGCAAGGTAGCGGCCCGCGCAAAACGAAGAAGGTGCACACATTGATGGACTGCTGGATTACAACTCTTCGTGCGGCTCGTCGATCGGCAAACTGGCCAAGATGCGCTGCCAGTGGGCGTCCACGATCTCTGCGACGATCGACGGCGCGTACTTGTCGACCATGTCGGCGCGGGCGCGCTGTCCCTTGGCCTTGGCATCCTGCGCGCACATGTCATATCGAGAATCGGCTCATTCCAACAAGAACACGTACCTCGGGGTGCGTCGCCACGTACTGCAAGAGCTCGATGAGATGCGTCTCGGACGGATTGGCCCACAAATGCCCCTTGAACGCACCGTCCAGAATCTACGACACACACGGCCGTTCATCGCAGTTTTGGAATGGAAATCACGGAGCCTCACCGGTACGAGTCCGTCAATTTGCAGCGGAAATGAGTTGTCTTGCGTCATAAACTCGGTCGGTCCGCTCCAAAAGGTCGCAATCACCGGCAGGCCCATGGCCATGGCCTCGACATGCGGGCGGCCCCAGCCTTCGCCGCGCGACGGCAGCACGAACGCCGTCGCGGCCTTGTACAAAGATGGGAGCTCGTCCTGCGTCCGTTGGATAAGCCGACGCCTATATCAACGCATCGGTCGCAGTCACCTGGGGCAAGTGCGGTGGAAGGACGTGCACGCGCGGCAAGTCGTCGAGGTCGCGCTGCAGGTCGTCCAGTGCAAACTCCGTGATCATCGCCTGACCACATTGCCATAGAAGAAGCGAAGAAGAGACAGCGCACCTCAAAATCGCTCGAGCTGTGATACGCGTTGGTCAAGAGTACGAGGAGCACGTTGGCGTCACGTGGGAATGCGCGCAAGTAGGACCGCAGCAGGATCTTCCAGCCCTTGCGCTCCTCCCACCTGATTCATCCTTCGGATATAGCGACAGCAAAGCGTACATGTTGCGTACTTGAAGATGGAGAGGAAGACGATCGTGGACGCATCGACGCCGGGCAGCGCCAATGGTGTCGCTTTCTCAGGATCAAAATACGTCACGTCGACGGCTTCAGGCACAACCACGAGCTTGGCTTCGGGGACGCCGCCGTCCTGAAACACCTGCTTCTGGAACCTACAGGCAAAGGCTTATACATACGCGTACATGAGTGGCGTAGTGTACTGTGTGGGGACCCAGATTTCGTCCATGGCCGCCATGCGGTCAGCCCAGCCCGACGGAATCCGGTCGGTCTCAAACATGGTGCGACCGATTGCGTAAGCCGAGCCTACCTCACGTCGCATCCTTGTTGATGACGATACTAGTAGAAAGTACCAATGGGCGGACACGTGCTCGTGTGGTACCGAGCAGGATGCCACGCGCCAGGCTCCGAGTGGCACACAGCGATCCGCGGCGGTGCCGGCGACCAGTACGGGTTGAACCAGTGCGCCTCGAGCGTATCTCGTGTGGCGACCGGTAGGTGCGCGGCAAAGTCATTGTTGAACGAGTCGCCGTGCTGCGTGATCTGCAGCGTATACGCCGGCGACGCCAAGGCGGCGAGCGCTTCGACGAACGAGATGGCTTCGCTGCAGTAGCCGCCGCCGCTCATAAAGGGCGCAAACCATTGGACAAGAGGCGGACTCGTCACAGCAGCCTACCGCATTGCCATGAGCTCGGCGCGGCGACAGCAAGCGCTACCGTCGAAGCCACCACCGCGGCCAGCGTCATCGCCAGGGTTCTCATTGGCAAAAATCGAATGCGACAGGTTTTCTTGAACGTGCGGCCAAAATATTCATTGTCAACGGGTTTGTTTTAAACAAAGATACACCTCGCGTTTTTTACATGACGTGGCAGCACGTGACGTTGCACGTCGTGGAGACCATGCGTGGCTAGTTGACCAATGACGAACGAGGACAAGAGAGATACTCTCACACCTGCAACGCGTACTGGGCGGTAGTCGAGCATCTTGTTTGGCCGAGTGGCTGTAGCCGCACCGCATCCGCGTAGATCACGGGCGGTGTGTCGACGTCGTCTGTCACCCTCGAGCTCTCGTCGCAGCTGTCTTCGATGCTCTTGATCTCCGAAAATGGGAACAGACTCGACTCGTCGTCAAGAGGTTCCAGAGCGTCGTCGTCGTCGTTATCATTGCCCGTAAAGACAACGGGCTCGTCTTCTGTCATTGCCACAGTATCGACGATCGAGCCATTCACGAGGCAGGGCAAGACACTGGCAACGACCTCGACCGACGCAATCTCATTCTCCTGCGATTTCTCACTTTGTAAAGACGTAGTTGGCTGCAAATACAACAATGTACCTGATCGTGGTCGTATGCTTCGTCCGTCAGGGTGTCGTCGAGTGGTAAGAGCTCAAACATGTCGTGGACCTCATCTTGGAGTGCCTCCCCGGGCTTCATGCAGCGCGGTGACGAGACCGCCGACCGAGGCGAGAGGCCCGACTGTGGGTGGAACCAGCATTGTATGTATTGGAGGCTAAACAAGACCTATAATCCTTGATGTCAAATATTGTTGTCAAGATATGGACGCACCTGGACCATGTTGGTGCCTTCGTACAAGTCGTCGGTGCAAAACATGGAGCTTTCCGCCATACCGAGCCTAGTACACAGGGTACATCCCTCGTACTTTAACAAGTCCAAACGATTTACATGCGGCAGTCGTGCAGGAAGATCGAAATGTTCTCGCGCTCCTTCCACGGCGCGAGGAGCTTGGAGTACGTCCGTGCAATCGGCATCTTGTTGGCGTGCGCCGGTGCCAAGACCTCCATCTAGGACAATAATGTCCATCAAACAAACGATAGTGTGGTCCAACGACGCACTAGCTCCCGCAGAACGACACCCGAGCGCAATTGCACAAAGAGCGCGTTCTCGTCGTCGCGCTGGACCTCGTCGCTGGCAAAGAGGTCGCGTCCGAGCTTGCGCTCGATCCATGCGATCGACATCTTTACCGCGTTGTCATCTTAACCAAATTATTAACAGGAAGGATATGGATGTACCTTTTGGCGCTTGGCGTATTCGAGCGTGAGCTGCTGGTTGGAACTCCACTTTTCAGACGACGACCGCTGTGCGTGGGGTAGCTGGATCGGCGCCGGCGCACGCACGGCGGCCAACTTTTCGCTGCTCACCATCCGTGCAGTCTATTTTTGAGCCTTCCTTTGGATAACTGCAAGCGTGCTTTGTGAATAGCTGCTTTCGATTGGTTATTAGAGATGTACCACCTCTTGTTGATCGCGGCCAAACGACAAGCGCTGCGACGACGTAGGTAGTGCCCCGCAACATACACCGGTACACGGACCATCAAGAACTCGGCGCAGGATCAGTACTGATTGCCCTTTACATATATGTTTGATTGACACTGCATGCTCTTGCTGCTACGGCATTCGCCTTGAATCCAGCGCGATCCAGGACCCAGAAATCCGCTGTGGACGTCGGCTTGCGGCGCGAGCATGGCTCGCAGCGGATCAAGGCTACATTGCCGTCCTTTGACGGGCCATCGATAGTGAAAGCAAAGGCACGTTGCATCGAGGCTGTAGTGCGGCGGAGGCCACAAAAGACGCAGTGGTGCTTTCGTTCTTCCGCGAGCTTTCAGTAGTTGCACGCAACCTGTAGCGGTGGTGCGCGTCCTAGGCGTCTGGTTGCCGAGTGTTTAGAGCTTTCCTGGACCACAAAGGAAGGCCTTGACCTACCTACCTACATGCAATGCCGCCTGCCTTTGACGCGACCACGCATCCAAGTCGAACCGTCGTGCTTGCTCGAGTTCATCTCGCATCGGCCATCTTGTTCTCTTGCCCAATGATCGATGGCGAGCGTACAGCAGGGCCAATCGATTCGCTTGTGTAGCAATGTAGTCCGGCGACGCCGTTGCCGGCAACGTCGCATCAGCCTGTACATGAGCTCACCGTGCGCCTTTGGCGTGTCCCTACTGCATGGCGACCTGGGATGGCGTGCTGCCACGCGAATTCGCCCACAAAGTACGTATCCCATTTCTTTGGTAGTATAAACGTGGATTGGCCGGGGCCCATATACTCATCTAAGCGAATACCAAGCAATGGGATCGGCCCGCGGCTGCGATTGGCTGAGGCCACGCTTTGTGGCAATTGGTGGAAATTGCAGGCCCGTTGGGAATTCCCGAAGCTTCCCACCCCTCATCTCGCTTCGCCATGCTCACCTCGCTCCGCGTCGGAGGCCGCCGCATTAGCCGCCTCGGCCGCACCTTCGCCTCCGCCCCGGACGACAAGCGCTACAAGCCCGTGAACGAGGTGCCCGAGGCCGTCATTGCGAACGCCCACTCGGACCAAGTCTTCTCGCCCGGCTTCTCGATCAAGGGCCAGAGCTCGTCGGGCCGCGCCGCGTACCTCGACGTGCAAGCCACGTCGCCGCTCGACCCGCGCGTTCTCGACAAGATGATGCCATACATGACGCACAACTATGGCAACCCGCACTCGCGCACGCACGCGTTTGGCTGGGACGCGGACAAGGCCGTCGAGCACGCGCGCGAGCAGGTCGCATCGCTCATTGCCGCCAACGCCAAGGAGGTCATGTTTACGTCGGGCGCGACCGAGTCCAACAACACGATCATCAAGGGCATTGCGCGCTTTTACGGCGCCAAGAAGAAGCACATCATCACGACGCAGATTGAGCACAAGTGCGTGCTCGACTCGTGCCGGGCCATGGAGAGCGAGGGCTACGAAGTCACGTACCTCCCCGTGGGCACGAACGGTCTCGTCGACGTCGAGGCCTTCAAGGCCGCGATCCGCCCTGACACGGTCTTGGCGTCGGTGATTGCCGTCAACAACGAGATTGGCGTCGTCCAGCCGCTCGAAGAGCTCGGCAAGATCTGCCGCGCCAACAAGGTCTTCTTCCACACGGACGCGGCGCAGATGCTCGGGAAGCTCCCGATCGATGTGGACGCGATGCACATTGACGCGATGTCGCTCTCGGGCCACAAGGTCTATGGCCCGAAGGGCGTCGGCGCCATGTACATCCGGCGCCGCCCGCGCGTGCGCCTCGAGCCCATCTTGTCGGGTGGTGGCCAAGAGCGCGGTCTGCGCAGCGGCACGCTCCCGCACCCGCTCTGCGTCGGCATGGGCGAGGCCTGCGAAGTCGCGGAGCGCGAGATGCAAGCCGACCACGACTGGGTCCAGTACCTATCGCAGAAGCTTGTGAACGGCATCAACGAGAAGATCCCGCACGTGATCCTCAACGGCGACGACAAGCAGCGTTACTGGGGCAACGTCAACCTGAGCTTTGCGTACGTCGAAGGCGAGAGTCTCCTCATGGCGCTCAAGGACATTGCGGTCTCGAGTGGCTCGGCGTGCACGAGTGCGTCGCTGGAGCCGTCGTACGTCCTCCGCGCGATCGGCGTCGGCGAGGACCTCGCGCACACGTCGATTCGGTTTGGCATTGGCCGCTTCACGACCGAGGCCGAAGTCGACTTTGCCATCGACCTCTGCGTCAAGCACGTTGGCCGCCTGCGTGAAATGAGCCCGCTCTGGGAGATGGTCCAGGAAGGCATTGATCCGAGCACGATCCAGTGGACCCAGGACCACCACCACTAGGCGTCCTATGTTTGCGTGCTGCGCGACCGACGTGTGGATGGAACCAGCACGATAATATACATGTATGATGAAGACACACGTGTTGCAGCGACTGAGCGAACGGACCCGCCGACGCGCGCGACGACGCATCGGTAGCATATTGACGAGCGTCGCAGCATCGCCGGTCCAGCATGCGGATGGCCTACCGCAGGAAGATTTCGTGCGTGTGGCCAAGGACGAATTCGAGGTACTCGTCCTCGCATGTGATCTGCTTGATGGTAAAGTTGTAGCGGTAAAAGATCGTGCGGTGCATGGGGGCAACCATGAAGAGAAAGTGCAGCAGCTTGGCAAACGACCCCGGCAGCGCGAGGCTGTAGCCCATCGTGTCGGTGTGTACGATCAAGTGGTTGAGTGGGCTCGGGTACGGCAAGCGTGGGCCGAGAAGCTTCCCCATGTCGTCGAGCGTCTTCTCGACAAGTCGCTCGGCCACGGGGACGAGGCGGTCGACCTGCGTGTCCGAGATTGACGGCGGCTGCACAAAGACGCCGTTGTCGAGCACGGGGACGCCATGGCGCCGGAGTACCTCCATGACCATCGTCTTTGCGATCGCTTGCATGGCCGCGTGCGACTCGCCTTGGTCGCTCCAGCCCTTCGGCGACGGTGCCATGCGCTATCGATGGCAAATTTCCAACTGATGGCGATCTTTAACCGATCGGTTAACCGGTTACACGCAAAAATCAGGCAAGAGCTGGCTCCATTTGGCGCCATGGCGATGCTCGGGCAATTAAACGCCCGCGTTGCTTCTAGGCGCCATTGCTGCCATGGTCCTCTATGCTCTTCATGCTTGCAGCTGGTAGGATGGCAGTGCCGTGTGCCAGTATGCTTATCGACGACTGATTGCTAAGCTTCGTGGTACAGTAAGGTAGTACTTGAACTGCCGCTGGTACATTCCGTACATTGGTAATAGTGCTCGTGTTGCAGTCGAACTACATCAACCATGCATCCTCGATGCATCCTAGCCGTATCAACGTTTGGACTAGGATCTTATGCACCGGCTGCTACAAACATGGAAAGAACTTGGGTTGACGGTCACGCAGAATAGATAGTGCTGCGGCTGCGTTCGAGGTCGCGGGATCGAAGACGCTTGCGCGGCTTAGTCGAGGTACACTTCACGGCGCCGGGACATGACAAAGTACTGGTACGAGAGCTCGCTGTGAATGAGATACCGCGGCTGGGCGCTGCTGTCGAACCAGACGCGATCTTGGTCCGGGCGGATCGCGTTCACAGCGTCGAGGAGCGCGGCAAAGGAGGTGGGCAGGGGCACAATAGACGTGACGCGCCCCACGTGGATGATGAGATGCTCGTACATGATGTCTCGCACGCGGTTGCAGAGCACCTTGAGGCGCGCGGCCTCCAGCATGGACGTGACGTCCTGGAGGTTGAAGTCGTCCGTGAGCGTGATGTAGCCGTCGACAATTGGGATGCCACGCTGCTCGAGCATGGCGCCAAGGATGTCGGGAGACGACGTCGTCGTCTCCTTTGTTGACCTCAGGTTGTGCAGGACGACGGCCTTTCCCGCGGCCTCCTCGGGGGATGGCAGCCCTTCGTCGGCGGGGCGTACGATGGCCACGTGCGCCATGAGCTTCTCGAGCACGTTGACGTCCATCTTGGAGACGGCCTGTACGAGGTACTCGATCTGCTTGTCCGAGCGCGTCGGCGCCAAGCTCTGCCTCATGTAGCGCTTCATGATGCTGTGCTGGCGAATATGGTTTTGCTGGCGATCTTTGAGCACAGAACCGGTTTTTTCCCGCCGGTTTAATCGATTAACCGGCTACAAATGCCCGCGCGCGTCGACGATTCACGCTACTCGTTGAAGGTTCCTTGCAAACCGCCATTCCCATACAGGCACGACCGAGCTTTGTAGTACTCTACATAGACATGTGATGCGGAGCTGAGCACGACAGCTAAAAGACAGACGGGACACAATAACCGGTTAAACTGGAGTCATGGCCGGTTCGAATCGCTTGCGCAGTCGTTCGGTCATAAGCAGCTCGCCTCCCCGGCCAGAGCCGCCGTACGTCATGGGCAGCAGCAAGCATTGCTACACGCAAGGACGTTGCTACAAGGCTCACCCAACCGATATCGTATGAAGGTCGACCTCTCCGACGATCTCAACGTGGTTGAAGTTGACAGCACGACCATGTTGCAGTCGAGGAACCATCGCGATGAAGACAACCTGACGAAAACTACAAGACGTGTAGCATTAGCTTGGGCGAGAGAATGCAAGACAACGAGGCGAGATGCACTAGAAGATGTAGACGAAGCGAATTTGGGTGTTGGTGAAGCAGAGGTACGAGAGCTCGTCGTGGATCACAAAGCGTGGCAACGCTTCGTGGTGGGACCAGACGCGGTCTTGATTGGGTCGAAGGGACGCGACAGTCTCCATGAGCTCGGCAAAGGACCGGGGCAGCGTTGTGACGCAGACGTGCTCGTCCATGATGATCGCGAGATGCCCGAGGTACATCTCGATCGTGCGCATCGTCTTGGCTTGGACATCATCCTGCTTCGTGCCCTTCGCGACGCCGAACTTGTCGTCATGCTGGGGCCGCACCGCGTGGTGCTGGATCGGCCGCAGGTGCAACCCAGTCGTGCTGCATGGCGCCGGGTCGGGCGCGTCGAGGCCGATCATCTGCCGCGTTACCCGGACGTAGAGGTCCACGTACGGGTACTCGCGCTTCAGGTCGGCTTCCTCGGTCGGCTCGCTCCATGGACGCAGCATGCGTCGGCCCCGGCGATCGCTTCGCATCGTTGTCATCCGGCTTGGTCCACTACGGTGGCGATCTTTTGGATTGTGATTTTGGCCAATCCGAATGCCGGACGCAAACCGGTTCAGACAACCGGTTTCATCTCGACCAATCCCGAGAAAAATCCCGATGGCCACGGCCCGGACCCGCGCCAAGAACGCGCTAAAGCGCCGGAAGCGCCGGCTTCAGCGGCAGCTCGAGGAGGACCTGCGCAGCGTCCTGCATGAAGGCCGTGAGGAGAGCGTGAAGGAAGCGCTCGAGGCCGAGTACATGGCGAGCGAGGAGAACACGCAACGGGTCCATGCAGCGTGGATCGCAGCGAACGCATCGACCGACGCCGCCTTTGCCAAGCGTCAGCGCATCCTCGCCGAACGCCAGCGCCTCATGGAATCCATCAAGCAGCAAGTCGAGCAAGAGAAGATGGAGATAGAAGCTGCAGAAAAAGAGCGCGCCGAGGCCATGGAGAGCCTCCGACTCGAGCGACAGGAGGCACGTCGCGTCGCCCATCCATTTCAACCTCATATCGCGCCGCTGTAGGCCGACGAGAAGCACCGCGCGCAGGTCCTCGAGTCCATGTCGCCTAAGAAGGTACGCGCATCATGCCCATATCGACCTCCTCAGCGTCCAGTAGCAACGCGAGGTGGTCTGCTCCTTCTACGCGCGGACAGGCATCTGCCGCTTCGGCGCCAACTGTACGCGCTATCATACTCCCGTCATGTCGAGCCGCTTCATGCTTGTCCAGGTACAATTGACGTGGAGAACGATGGCCCATCGTACCGTCTCCTTGGTCTAGGGCATGCATGCGATCCAGCTGGCGGCAGAAGATACGCTTGAAGTACATCATCTTCGTCACCATGCATGCACTGGAGTCGTCCTGTAGATCGACGAGAAGCAGCTACGTCGAGCATACGCCGACTTTTACAACGACGTGCTGACGGAGTTTCTCAAATTTGGCTTTGTCGTGCAGCTCACGGTAGAGGACACTATTCTCCATCAATGTTTCAACATATCAACGGCGACTAGACATGCTGCAACTTGGCACCACACCTGCGGGGCAACGTATACGTCGAATACCAAACCGAAGCCGCCGCTGCCGCCGCCGTCCACGCCCTCTTTGGTCGGTTCTATGCCGGAAAGCAGCTCTACCCGACGCTTGTGCCAATGAGTTCGTGGGCCCAAGGCATCTGTGGGCTCTACCAACAGCGCCGCTGCACGCGCGGGCGGGACTGCAACTACCTACACCCATTTGCAACCCCGGTGGAAGTGACGCCGTCGTATCGGTACCGCCGCCGGTCGTCGCCCCGTACGCAGCCCAAGACTATTTAATACGGTGGACCTCATGGTTGATTCGTGCGATCTAGGCCGCGACGACGATACGCCCCCACGCAAGCAACGGAAGGTCTCCCGACGCCGCGCCGACGACGACCGCCCATCTCGACACCGCGCCGACGACGACAGAGCATCCCGACACCGCACCGACGACGAACGAGCATCCCAACACCGCACCGACGACGACCGTCGAAGGAGGTCGTCCCGCCGTCGGTAGCTAGTCGTGCGTCGAGAGCATCGTATGGAGGTAATCGAGCATGCGCTTGGACGATGATTTGTCCAGCGCGCCATTGTACTCGGAGCACGTCGCCGACTGGATGCAGGACGGACACCCATTCTTGCATGCACACCCGTCGAGGATGTCCTTGGCACAGGCAAGGATCTACCCGATCGCACTTGTATCCGACCTCGGACATAAGCAAAAAGTACCTCGGGCAGGCAGCGCGCAATCCGCGACACGATTCCGACGCCGCCGTCATGCGACTCGTACAAAATCACACGCGTCGGCCTACATAGAAGTTACCTTTCTCCACGTTGCGAGAGGTATACCGCGCGCGGGTTTCGTTGAAATTCGCGTGCTCCGTGTGCACGTCGCTGGGGTCGATGAGCATGAAGAGCGGGATCACGGCGAGCACGAGGTGGTTGATCCCATGGACCGCATGCCGGTGCGACTCCCGCGGGAGCTGCGCTAAAAGCGCTTCGGGCACATCGATCCAGACGCCGTGGCCCGTCGTATCCATCGGCGGCAGCGAAAACTCGACGAGACCAGTCTTCTTTTGCGTCCGCTTCTCAATGAGGTGGCAGCCCACGACGTGTGTTGTGGCCGAGACGCGGCCCAAGTGAACGCTATCGTGGTACGGCGGGTTCGATCGCGGGAACGGCAGGGAGACGTTGACGTCGGTAAAGTCCCGGGCAGCCGTGTAGTAAGTAAGCCGCTTATGGGATCGTGTGACGAACGCGAGTTTGGCCTCCGTGTCCACCTTGGTGACGACATATTCGCGGCCTTGGAAGAGGTACACGGCTCTCGGGTAGAGGGTAAAGAAGACCTTATCCGACGGATGCGTGTCCAGCACCTTCTCGCCTTCGACCACCTACACCACGCTATGTGCTTTGTCTCAGAGAATGTCGTGGACCGACGCTGTAGTTGTCGTTGCCCATTTGACGAATGTTCTTGGTCGTCGTGCGGACGTCGTCGGCGAGGAGTGCCGGCACTTGATAGCCCAACGGATGGCGATGCTGCAGTCGACCACTGGCGACGAGCGACGCAAGTACGGCATCGGCTTCGGGCGGAAACACCGATCTGGGTGAGTTGGTTGTCGTCGTTTTTGTAGGGGTAGGGTGGTACCGATCGATGGCCTCGTTGCCGCACTTGGTCGAGAACAAGTGCATCTCCAAGCTCGCGCACTGGAGATGCGCGGCCATGACATGGGCGTTGAGCGGGTCGAGCACCGCCGACTCAAAGTCCTTTGTAAACAGCGTCGCACAGCGCTTTTTGGTCTTGAGGTAGTATTGATCCAGTGGCGAACTAAAGCCCAAGAGCACGGCCAGCGAGTCCTACGCAGCTTCGTCGACGGGGTTCTACATGTGCTGTAGGAGGCAAACCTTGCCGCTGCGCCCGGCGCGACCGGCCTGCTGCCACAAAGACGAGACCGACGACGGAAAACCAATGTGCAGCGTGCATTCGAGATTGCCAATGTCGATGCCAAGCTCGAGCGCATTGGTGGCGACGACGCCGAGGAGGTCGCCTTGGAAGAGGTCGGCTTCGATCGCGCGCCGGTCCTCGGCCGTGTAGCCGCCGCGGTACGCCTTGACGCGTTCCACCAGCGCAAACTGCTTGGCCTTGCGCAGCTGCGTGTGTGCATAGTCCAAAACGAGCTCGGTCAGCTTGCGGCCCTAAGCACAAGCCTATCGACTTCTGTCGCTGCATCTGTGGTACAATGCAAACCCGGCAAAAAGCGATCGTGTGCACCCCTTTCTGCACGAGGGTCGAGAGGATCTGGCCGGCTTGGAAGATGGCGCTGTTGGACGCGTCGGGCGTGCTGTCGTCGTGGGCGAGTGGGTTCCAGATCAGAAAGGCCTTGGGCCCACTGGGGGACCCGTCGGAGGCATGCGGCACAAGCGTGAGCGGTCGAGCACGGAGCTCGCCGTTCATGGGTGGTACGAGGAAGCGAAAGTGCTCTTCCGGATTGTGGATCGACGCCGAGCAGCAGACAACTTGGGGCTGGCTGCCGTACAGCGCACAGAGCCGCCGAAGACGGCGTAGAATCCACGCCACGTGCGAGCCAAAGAGACCGCGGTACATGTGGCTTTCATCAATCACGATGTACCTACCAGCGAGGTATGAAAGCTCTTCATGTTTGTTTCAAAATCAAAAGATGACACATACCGGAGGTGGGTGAGGATCGAAGCCCACGTTTTGTGCTGCGGAAGGATCGTGACGTGCAGCATGTCCGGGTTGGTCAAGAAGACGCGTGTCGACTTGCGAATCACCGTGCGTTCGGGGTGCGTCGTGTCGCCATCCTATTGTCATGTTGTCACGTAGGGCTAGGGTCATTGCGCCCAATTGGGATGCTTACGTAGGTGGCACAAATGGACGGTGGGAGGCCACAGCGCATGAGAAACGACCGGAGCGACTGCATCTGGTCTTGCGCGAGCGCCTACACGTTGCTTGGTCGCCCTCGGACGTGTTGCATCGATGATGCACGTACTTTGGTGGGGAAGAGGTACAAGTGGGTGGACGCCGCCTCCGTCAAGAGACTGTTGGCGACCGGGATGTTGTAGACCATCGACTTGCCGCTCGACGTCGACGTTGAAATCGCCACGTGATGTCCGTTCAAGAGTGCGTCAATGCCTGTGGCTTGGTGGGCGTACAGCTTCTCAATGTGCAGCGACGACACAAGTGCCGGCGCCAGAGGCATCTGAGCCAGCGGCGTCGGACCGTACACCGCCGCGCGTGCTGGAAGCCGCTCGACGTGCACGAGCTGGCCCGAGTAAAACGAGCTTGTGACCAGCGATTGGATCCACGCATCCACGGTCTCCGCCGTCGCCGCCTCGTGGGTCCAGGTCGGGACGGCCTTCGGGCGCTTGGGTGGTGGCAAGTACTCGGGCACGGGGTTCATCGCCACGTCAAAGGCGGCCAGCGCCGCTGTGAAAAGTTCGAGGCGTTTGGTGCTTCCGCGTTTGCTGGCGTGGGGCACGTCTTGGAACTCGACGACCTCAATCGTCTCGGGGAGATCGGTGGGGTTAAAGTCATCTAATGAAATAGCATTGTCAATGCACGCTCGAATTTAACGTGTTGATAAACCTTGTGCGATCACCTTGTCGGCGGCCTTGGTAACGACGCGGACGACGCCAATCGAGGCCATTTGCCGCACGTGGCTCTCGAGAAGCGTTGTGGACGACCCCGAGAGGTGGGCAGCGAGACGTAGCACGTTCTTGAGCGACGTCGGCGCCTTCTTGTTGGCGAGGAAGCAGTAGCTGCTGTCGAGAAGCGTAAAGCGCTGCAGCCATGGCGCCATCGCGGGATCCACCGGCGCTGGCGCGGGTTTGCGCTTCTTGGTCATCGAGCCCAGTCCTGGCGCGAAGATGATGATAACGGTATTATATTATTATTATACATGATCGCTCTGAAAACACCCAACTCGCCTGTTTATCCGGAAAGAACACACAAAGATACGTCGGTCGCGGCCACAATCCAGCATGCATGCATTCTTCACAACAACATTTGAAGCAGCCAACATGGAGTCAACGCAGCATCGCATGCCGCAAGCATTGCGCAAGGCCATCGCTGATTTTGATCCTTGCCGCCTTGTCCAGGTACATACGAATGAATAACCCTAACCAAGCATCGTCACCGCCGAGGGCTAGGTCATAGTACCGCCACAACGCTCAACCCAAGACACCATCCGCGATCGGCTGCATGATCTTGTCGATCGTCCGCGTTTGCGATCAACCTGCGTAGCTCTCGACAACTCGCCGAAGCTCTGCGAGGAATGCAAGAATGCGGCAGGGAGCCATCCCGAAGCGAGCACGATGACCTGCACGCTTCCTGAAGGCGGCCTTATCGCAGACATCGCTCGCTTTGATCGCGACAGCTTGAAAAAGGTAGTAACCAACAGCATTAGATACCGGGGCATCATGAAGGTACTGTACGGATAGGTAACCTTGGTCCAAGACATGGTAGCCCGTGACTTGGTGCGTGATTTGGTGTATCGGCCAACGCGGCCGGTACACGCGGTACGAACGGGACTCGTCGAGACGACGCGATGGGTTCTGTAATGCGTAGGCGTACGGAGAGACAAGCTTCTACCTGACCGAGGCGAGTACGGACGAAGACGATGAGGACAGCGACATGGAGAGCGACTGGAGCGATCTTGTCGAGGATGAGGTGATCGCTTTCCACACTCTGTCACTTACCCTAGGCTCGTAGGTCGACGACGATGCAAACCAGGACAGTGACGACTCGACGTCCGGATTTCTTCTCGTCCAGCGCACGCAACCAACGTTCCACCCCGTGCGTCGACACCTCATTTCCTTTCAACTCACGTTTGCTTGATGCAGACGCCCCACGCAGAGCTCCTCGCTGCGATTCGTCAGCGCGTGCCCAAATGCACTCGCACCGTACGCCGTCCTTCCTTAACTCCTCGACTGCATGGCATCGTCACTAGACTCTTGTATTAGCGCACCCGTCGTCGCAGCTATGTGCTTTGGCGTCCGACACCCGAGGTCGACAGAAGTCCATCGCCGGTGCGTCCCGTGCCAATTCTGCGGTGCCCAGATTTGACGCTCTGCGCGTCATTGTCGCTCTCGGAGGCCTCCGAGTGGTCGGACGACGATTGATTTCCTTTCGTGTCCCTTGCAGAAAGGACGGTAGTCGTCTAGAAGGACCAAACCAATACAATCCAACTTGGATTGTGCTTGTACTTGGATTATCCAAGCCGTTGGACATCACCCACAAGAATGTATGTCATCAAAGAGTGCAGGTCGTACGACGGGGTTTTCCCACGGGATAAACCGTAAAGAGGTGTGTTTTTAGACCTGGGCGGCTGTATCCGGCATCTGTATCCGGATGCGACCAACGTCGTGGCGTCAGACACGGACAAGATGCAGAGCGCGCAGGTCTACTGCGTCGAGCGCGTCTTCGAGGACCTCAAGAAGCCGTTCGTCGCCAAGGACGTCGTGCGCCAGCTCATACACCTGGACACTGTCGTCGCCGATGTCTTCGAGCGCATCTCGCTGCGCGTACGCCCATACGATGCCGGCCACGCTCACGATGCGCTGCCTAGGTCCAAGCCGAGAAGGATCGCGTCAAAGCGATCGACGCTGTACGTGGCCATGGCCAGGACCTTGCGGCTCATGCTAGGCGTGTAGAGAATTGCGGCCTGCCAGGCCAAAGTCAACGCCGTCACGGGTACGCCAGAAGCGCACTATATACCTGTCGGCAGAAAAGGCTTTATTATGATGCGTAGAGCGTGGCACGACCAACAAGGCCACGACCGTCTTTTCAACGGCCAAGTACCCTGCGCCCACGGGTACGCGTGCCCTATATGCATTGTGGTGTCGCTCATGCTGCACTATGCTAGTGCTGCCAGCGATGAAGGGCCTCTACAGTGACAAGCCGTACGAAGAGACGCCGCCATTGACGGCCGAGCTTGAAGCGACGCACTTTCTGCCCTCCGTACGTCGTCGCCGATGATCGACGCTGACGCCACGTCGTCGTCGTAGGAGCCGCCGACGGCTGGGCAGCGCGCCCAGCTCATGGCCGAGGTCGTCGATTTGTTTGAGCGTGTCAACACGTTCAAGGCAACGCGCAAGGCTGAAGATATCATGAAGGAGGTACGTACCGATCTTTTTTTGTTGGTTGACGTGGTGTGTGTAGGAAGGGCTTGGCTCGTTGCCAGGCCAAGTGCCCACCGTTGGCGGTGTCCTTCTCTTCAATTCGAGCGAGACGCCGTACCAGAACGTACACTATTTCCTGTCTTGTCGGGCGAAGGACAACTTGTCCACTCTGTAGTACGTGCTCGTGGACAACCTCTTTGGCTCGGAATTTGAAGGCGAAGAAGAGCAAAAGAAGAAGCTTGCCGCCGCGCCCGACACGGTCATCAACCGCGGCGCCGGCATCGACTACAGCAACATGCCGACCGACATTTACCGCCCGAAACCGGGCTCGATGCCAGCCTTTTCCGAGAAGCTGCCGACCGACTTGCCGCTCAAGGGCCTTGTCGCGACCGACGTCCAAGTCGATACGTCGGGCATTCAGTCGATTGCGCCGTCCATGCAAAACATGATTGAGCTGCCGACGTTGCCCGAGTTTGCGACCGGCCCGACCGCGATCGAGCGGCATGTGGAGGGCGCCACGGCCCTTGGACCCTCGGACATGACGCCCCCGCCGCCGCCGCCGCCGCCGCCGTCCCTCAAATTCGATGCACCGGGTACGACATGCCGCGACAGAAAGAAAGTGCCGAGTGTTTTCGATAGAGTCGACCAATGGAAGTTCGATGCCGCCACCGCCACCGCCCCCGACAGGCGACGATGCACCGCCGCCACCACCACCGATGGACATGCCGGCGTCGGTACACACTGTGCAAACTCCACGATCGTGGTGCCAAGACAGAGTTGAGTGTAGCCCGACGCGCCGCCGCCACCGCCGGTCGAGCCCGAGCCGGCCAACCCGCGGTCGAGTCTCATGGACGCGATCCGCAATGCCAGCCTCAGAAAGCTCAAGAAAGTACGCCATCGCCCTTCGACGTCGGGAGATTCATTTTGTGCGTAGGCGGATGCGACCGAGGTGCGGCGCAGTGGCGCCCCCGAGCCACCCAAGGCGCCGACCACCGTGCCGCAAGAAGTACTGGACCGTCTTACGCGACTCAAGAATGCGTGGAGCGGCAAAGGCGACAAGGAAGAAAACTCGCGCGATCGCGACAACTTAAAAATTCACGGTGCTCAAGGCGCAGGAAGTGCCGACGCCGCAACAGCAACCGCCGCCACCGCCGCCCATGGCCGACTACCCTGGCAACCGCAAGCTGCCGACCGTCGCCATGTCGGAAGACGGCAGTGACGACGACGAGCGGTTCGACGACAAGGCGTCCAATTTCGGCGATGACGTACACGGCGACGCAAACATGATATATATCACTGTGACATGTTCTAGAAAGATGACGCGCTCTCGCGCATCAAGGCCATCCAAGAGAAGAACGCGACACAGAAGGACGCGCCGGCCAAGCCCAAACCTGTTGTCGAGCCCATCAAGCAGCCCGACCCGCCAAAGTCGGTACGTACTTCGTCACCCTCGGAACGTATCGTTCTAACATGCATCTGTCTAGTCGGCCGCGACCATGGACGCGGTACCATCACCCGACTGGATACGTCAATGGGTGAAGCTAATGCTGTTTTGGCTAGAACATTCGCGGCCTTCGCGACCGTCAAGACTCTCTCTCCATGTCGGAGGCGTCCGACTGGTCGGACGACTAGGAGTGCACTAGTCTATCCAAGCCGTCTTGAGAAGGATACAAATACAGGATCAAAGAAATCATCGATCTATCGCGTATAGTCGCGCGACGAACGCTAGCGTTTCCGGAGCTTGGACGGCGACCCGACGCCGGACGTGAGCATGCCTTTCTTCGGACTTGCCGACGACAGCCGTCGCACGCGGCCCTCGGTCGTCGCCTCGCAAGCGACCGTGTAAACATCGATGCCGCCGTCGAGCGTCTTGTAGTGGGCGCACGTAAAGTCGTCGCCGGCCTCATCGACGACGCGCTTGACGGCGTCGCTGACGACGACGCCACCGGGAACACCGTTGCTCTCGAGCGTGTTGGCCAGCATCGCATCGAGGCCCCACATGTCGTAGCGCAACGTGGTGTCGCCAATCACGCCGCCAATGAGGTTGCCGAGGTGGACCCCAATGCGCATTTGCAGCGGCTCGTTCGTCACGGGATCTCGAATCTAGCCATACACAACTTGTCTGCGACGTCAAAAGTGAAGAGATGTACATACCTTGGCGACCTCCTTGTGCATGTCAAACGCCATGTGCAAGAGGTTGCGAATGTGTTGATGGACGTGCAGACACGGCTTCTTGAGGTGGACATTGCTTCGGCGCAGCGAGGCAAGCTGCTGCGCGACGCGGTGGGCTTGCATGCGCGCCGACATGCGCCGGTGAGGCGTCGAGTGCGCGCTCGGCGGCAAACTCTCCTCGGTCAAGCTCATGTCGATGAACGGCAAGCCCGAGACTATGACGTACGCGTCGCCGATCGTCTGCAGTTTGAAGACGCCGTGCTTCTCAGTGAGCACATCAAAGGCCGCGAAGAGTGAGTCGAGCAGCTGAATCACGTCTTCGGGGGCTGTCCGCGCCGCGAGCGTCGTGAAGCCCTTGATGTCCGAGTAGAGAATGCCCACGAGGCGGTACTCGTCGCAGACCAACTCGCCTTGCTTCATGCGCGTGACGACTTCTTCGGGCAACCGCTGGTACAAAAGCCGGTCCGCGGTCCGCGTTTGAATGTTGGTTTGCGTCTCGAGCCACACTTTGCGCCGTGTGAAGAAATCGAGGCCGCGACAGACCACAACGTTGGCGATCGCGGTAAACGAGACGAGCACGACCGGGTTGATCAAGGCGTCGTAGCCATTCTCGGACAAGAGACCCATGGCAATCGTGATGGGCACCATGCTGACCCAGGCGAGCGCGTTGAAGCCGATCGACGAGGCATATCGAACCGCACCGCCGCTGCTCACGACAAACATGACAAAGACGACGTCGAGTGCGAGCCACGCAAAGCCTTTCGCCGTCGCAAGGCGCTGCGCGATTTCAACCACGTGGAGCGTCGAGAGCGCGAGGAGGCAGAGGCACGACGTCGGCACGAGCCCGTGCTGCGCCATGAACGGGACAAAGAGCAAACTCACCGCAAGAAGACCGAGCACGACCATCCGTGGTGCGACGAGGAGCCAGAGACGACCGTCGACACCGACGAGCGCGCCTTGCGACGCGTCACGAAAGATGGAAAAGAGGAGGTAGACGCCGAGCGCATAGAGGCAGCGGGACGTGGCTTCTTCGCGCATCGAGGTGGTGGCTTTCGCGTACGTCGCCTCCATCTCGTGATCGTAAAAGTAGAGCCAAAGCGGGTGCAATTCGGCAGCCATTTCGTCGTAAATTCCCGCCTCGATGCTCGAGACGACGGGCTCGGGGCGCCGAAGCCCATTATGACTGCGGGACGCGACGCAGCCCGGCCGCTCGGCCCACGCCCGTGCGCGGTCGCTGGTCGCTGGTCCGAGGAGGAAGGTTTCCATCTCGCCCTTGCCTTTGACAAGCACGCGGCTCGGCGACGAGAACGCAAAGTCGTGGCGCAGCTTGTGCTGCGTGGCACTCGAGAGCTGGATTTGACCGGGCGTCCCGGTGCTCTGCATGCGCGACGCCGTGTTGACGGTATCCCCAAAGAGCGAAAACTGCTGCTTCTTGCGCCCGACAAGACCACTCAAGACACGTCCCGAGTGCAAGCCAATGCGGAGCTTGATGCTGTGACCAGATGTCGTCTTGCACGTCGAGAGCAGTCGCTGCATGTCGCGCGCCATGCACGCCGCCCGGATCGCGGGCGAGACTGGAAACGACGCCGACGCTTCTTGGAGCCCCGCGCAGGCCATGTACGTCTTGCCGACCGTCTCCATCTTTTGAACGCCGTACTTGGCGCAGAGCTAAGAGGCAGCAGTTGTCAGTACGGTCTTTCTCGTCCAGAGAGAGAGAGAGAAATAGAGAGATCGATCGATAGATAGATAGATAGATAGATAGATAGATAGATAGATAGATAGATAGATAGATCGATAGATAGATGGATAGATACCTCGTCAAAAAGCGAATAGAGATGGTCGAGGAGCGAGACGACCTGTGCCGGCGAGTAGCGTTGCATGAGCTGCGTAAAGTCGACAACGTCGCAAAACAAGATGGTCACGTCGTCGTCGGCTTCGGAAATGATGGGGTCGCCACTTTGCAGTTTGGCCATAATATGACGTGGCAGCATGTGCTCGAGGATCGCGCGCGCGCGTTTTTCTTGGAGCGCGAGCGACCGATGCTGGAGGAAATCGTGGCGCATCGCGACCTGGACGCGCCAGCTGCCGTGGGCCGCGAACGCCATCAAGAGGCCAATGTAGCCAGTAAAGTATCCAAGGCCCGCCGCCGACGTCGACGGCAGCGACATCGCAAACAAGACATAGACGAGGTAATTGGCGAGCGCAAGCGATAGCGCGTACGTGAACCGGACGCGAAACACGGCGAAGAGCGCGATCGGAAACAAGGTGGACGAGACGTAGCCTTCGTCGACGATGGTCGCCGAGATGAAGAGCCCGGTGCCGGCCATCGGGAGGATCACGCAGAGATCGTAGTGGGCGTGGAACCAGCGCGAGGATGCGAACCGCGTGTAGGCGAGCGCACAGAGGAGCAGCAAGACGCGCGAGACGACGTACAAGCTCGTCGCGCCGACGACAAAGTACTGCACCAAGACGTTGAGGAGGAAGAGGAACGCGGCGAGCGCGACGACCCGCCGAATGCGCACGACCTCGCGGGATCGGAACGCCGATGCGTACTCGGCCTCGAGCGCGGCGCTGCGCTTCCCAAGAAACGCGAGCGAGAACGGATGGAGTGTCACATCGAGATCGACGGTAGCCGTCGTGTCTTCATCGACTTCAGCATGCTGCGTCTGGAGCCGGCACCCTCGGAGCTGTGCAATCAACACGTCGCAGTCGGACGTCATGTCAGGCGATCGAAATGCGTCGACCCACGCCTTGAAGTCGGTCGAGAGGTGCTTGGTGCACGCAGACGACGACTTGTTTTTCTCACCTGACGTGCACCCGACCGTGGCGCGGGGCCGCGACGTCGCGCGAACACCCAGACCAGCGTCGACTTCCGAGTGAAGATCGCGGTTCGAGTACCAATAGAGTCGCTGAAAGCTGTACCACGCGGCTTGCAGCACGAGGCTACCTGCCGGCGCAAGGACGAGCGCGAGCAGCAGCAAGCCCGTATCCGCTCGATAAAAGAGGTGGTAGAAATCACGCAACGCACTCGCTGTCGCAACAACCGCGTACAGCTCTTCGTAGACAGCAATGAAGACGACGAGAGATGCGGCGCTCAGCAGCAGCGAGAGCACGTGCCAGTGCCGCCACCGCTGCAGCCGCTGCATGCACGCCGCGGCTTTCAAGAGCACGATGAGCACCGACGAAGCGTACAAGACAGTCCCGAGCAGCGCCAAGCTCGCGCCGCCGTACCCAAGCGACCACGAAATCAACACGACGTTGGCCGACGCTTCGAGGACGGCCGACACCATCCAAAGCAAGAGTGTCTTGAGGCTCAAGCGCGACCCATCCGGTTCGTCGAGATAGATCCGCGGGTGCAAGAGCAAGGTAGGCCCCGAAAGGTCCTTGTCGAAAATGCCAATCACAAACAAGGGGAGGCACGTGTAGAGGACGTTCCAACCCACGAGCAAGTACGAGTCGAACGGCGTTTGGCCCGAAAACCCGGTCAGAAACGAGTAGAGGAAAAAGGTCGCGACCAACAGCGTGTTCTTGTAGAACGTCAACAAGATGAGCAGCGTGACCCGGCGACAGTTCCACCGACCATGCAATAGCAGCAGCGTCGTAAGGAACCGGAATTGGGCCAATCCAAAGTCAGCCGACCGCACCGCCTGTAACCCTACCCACAGCATCGTATCCATGTATCCATGTATCCGCCACGTACCTTCGACGCCAAAGATACCGACGCCAACATGTGCCTCTTGGATCATGGACACGTCGTTGCCGCCGTCGCCAATCGCAAGCGTGATGCACTCGTCGTGACTGTGGGCTTTGACGAAACGGACGAGGTTGGCCTTCTGGATCGGCGAGAGTCGGGAAGCGACCACAGTCTGGCACTGACTCAAGAGCTCAAACAACTGGGAGGCGTGGGCGGTAGGAGAAAAAGGCGCGATCTGGTTGGCTCCCTGGGGTTTCTGGAGGCAGTGCACCGTGAGAAGCTGGTCGAGGGACGCGCCCCCGAGCAGCACCGACAGCGATGGGTTGACGGTGCCGGGGTGCCAGAGCCCGTCGCGCTTGAGCTGTTTGCGATGCACGGCGATTTGGTCGGCGCCGTCGCAGAGCGGCAGCACGAGCGACTTTGTCGAGAGGAGGCCGGCGGCATGGGCGAGTGCAACCGCGGTCTCATCCTTGTCGCCGGTGAGCATCCACACGCGAATGCCGGCTTTGGTGAGCAGCGACGTGGCCACATGGACGCCGTCCTGGAGTTTGTCTTCGACACCCGAGCCGCCGAGGATCTCCATGCGCTCGCTCGCTTCGATCGTCGTTGCGAGCACGTGCAAGGTATGCTCTCGATCATGGAGAGCCCCCTGGGCCGCAGCATAGGCGTCGAGCCACGCCTTGGCTGCCTTTGCGTCAAGTTGCTGCCGGCCAAACACAAGGGTCCGTAAACCGAGGCAAGCAAACGATCGAATGTGCGTCTCGACGTCTTGGCGCGCCCGGGTTGCATTGCTCGGGTGGAGGAGCGCGTTGTCGGCGCCCTTGCAGTAGAGCCAATACTCATCTAGACCGATCCTTTTCTGAGGCGACGAGCAAAATCGAGGAGCGTACCAGACGACTCGCGCTGGACGAGCACCGACATGCACTTGCGCAGACTATCAAAAGCGTTGCACGCGAGGAGCGTGTACGCTTCTTGCTGCCCAAAGAGCACTATCTGGATGCGATTGTTCGAGATGCCATCAAATGCGCAGTCAAAATCGGCGGCGGCCGCGAGAAGCGCGACTTCGTCAGGGGACGTGGCCGACACGTCGCCGTCGCTCCCGATGCGCGCGCTGTGGCACAGTAGCAGACAGCGGAAGAACTCGCGGATCGATGCGCCATGTTGGTGACGCTGCAGCAAGGCAAGTTCGACGAGCCGGTTCGGATCGATGGCGCCCGATCGCTTGCCCCCACCCTACGCCAACATCCTACTCTTCGCAACATGATGAGCAACGAGATATGTCGTTAGTACATGGCAGTCGACGAGTTGACCGCTGATGCTGAGCTTCTGAAGCACCATCTCGTTCTTTGTCAGCGTGCCCGTCTTGTCTGTAAAAAGGTACTGGACCCGTCCGAGGTCTTCGTTGAGGTTGGACGTGCGTGCGACCAGGCCTTGGCCCGTGCGTGGACACGTCTAAGGTTCAAAGCCACCACTGGGTATACATGCCAACGCTTTGCCGAGACGAGCGAGCCGACCAACATCTTACCATGGCGACGTCGTGTTCCATGTGTTTGGCTTGATACCACTTGGCGATTTCAAGGCTAATGTAGAGCGAAATCGGCACCTAATGCACACGAGATGGTCCCCTTGCCATTCTGTGCGCTTCTGTTACCAGGTTGTTGTACAGAATGAGATACGTCACCCAAAGCGTCAGAAAGGTCGTTGCGGACGGCGGTCCGTCCACGTGCAAGTACGGTGGCAGCGCCTGCGCTTGCCAAAAGTACCCTTTGATCGCGCTGATCGTGTTGAGCAGCAAGAGCAGGAGAAAGACGACGAGCACGCACTTGTTGGCGACCACGTCGAGGTGGCTCCGTTTCCGCGGGACCGACCGGGCCTTGTTCTGCATGAGCTTAGTGTCGCTGCCGGTAGCGAGGACGGCGCCGAGAACGTGGGCTGTGTTGACCAAGCGCGTTGCGCGGAGGCAGACGTTATGGCTCGTAAACGGCACGTCCTCGGCCTCGTCCTTGGCGCGCAGCTGCAGGACGCCGTCGAAACGAGACAAGGCGGGCGTCGGCGGCTGGCAGCGCACGTCGGCCGCGACGGCGTTGCCATACGTCAGCACGTCGTGGAAGGCGCTGATATGGATGCGCGGAACGAGCCGGACTTTGGCCGTCGACTCGCCGTCGAGGTTGCTCGTGTCAATATAGGCCTCGCGGTCGTCGTGGCTGGATGCGAGAAGGAGCAGGTCCGCCGGAAACACTTCGTTGGCGCGCACCTTGAGAATGTCACCGACCGCGACGTCGCGCCAAAGCACTTGCGCGAAATGCCCGTCGTCGCCGAGGCGCAGCGTGGGACTCGTGTTGACAAGGGCGTCGGCGTCGTGCCTAGCCTTGTCTTCGACGCCTTCCTTGACCATGGTGACGAGCAGTACGAGGAGGAACGGCGCGAGCGTTGCAAATGGGTTCGTCGGCGAGTACGGCGTGCAGAGCTGGAGGAGCGAGATCAGTAGAAAGTAGACGTTGGCGACGCGTCGGAATTGCTCGAGAAGGTTCAGCGGAACGAACGAAGCGAGCGTATACTTGGACGTGCGCACGCGGTTGTCCGTAAACGCGTTGCTATGCGTGCGCAGCGAGAGGCAGCGATCGAGGCGTTGGTTCGTGGCCGCCATTCGCGTGGCGTGCGTCCAGCAGCTCTCGACGGTCACTGGCGTTTAGAAACCACCGAGCTTGCCGGTTTCGAAATCTTGAACGCGCTTCAAGTGGTATGCGGACGACGCTACGTCCATGTACCCCGTCTTACGTCGAGTAACGTTAGCATAGCTGTGACGACGAGATGGATCTCATCACACTCGCCATTTTTGCTACCAAAAGCAAGGAAGGGAATTCGGCTTCTTGGACGAGCACAAGCTCGTCGATCCAAGTCACTGAAGCAAGCTACCCGCGTGCAAGGCGACGGAAGATGGTAGTATATCGCTGCAGAAGTTGTCGTGATGCACGCGGCAGCTCTTGTTTTCCAGAAGACGACAAGGGCGACGTCGTGGCCACGCATCCGCCTCGTGGGTTTCAACTGGCACACAGTCATCGGTAGCCCGCTAGCGTCTCTCGGCCGAGACACTTATGCGATTGCCCTTCTCGTGTTCACCTCGTACGCCGATCAAGTCAAAAGCATCCCCTGCCTTTCCACACGGTTTACATGCAAACGACATCCGCCATTTCGATGTCTACATGAGCCAGGACGTATCGTGCGACTCGGGCGAGTCGTCGCCGTGCTTGCGTTTGGCCGCGGCCGCGAGTACTTCTTGTTTGAGCCGCCGCACCCGCTTGTCGTGGAGGCCGTGGTGGACTTGGAGAATGTAGCACGCCGCTTCGAGCGCGACTTCGCCGTCCCCATGCAGCTCTCGGCGCTGCTTGAGCAAGTAGTGACCCAAGTTCGTTTGAGCGTCGGCGACTTCGAGGCTAAATTCGCCATACCCGATCGTCGCCGCTTCCACGATGCCTACGTAGACACCATGGACAACGTCCGGGCTCTCGTACGCCGCGAGGTCCAGCCAGCCCTGCCACGCATCCATGGCGTTCGCAGCGCAGTCACGCCGCGTCGTGTCGGCATCGAGGAACTTGGCTGCATGCTCGGTGAAGAAGGTGGCGGCGTCCTGGAGAAGGTCCATGGCCTCGGCCGTCTTCTTCATGTGCACGTAGACTTTGGCGACGTGCATGCGCAGAAAGGCCGCTGCGGGGACACCGCCGTGGCACGCCGCTTCGAACGCAGCGATGGCTTGTAAAAAGTACGTCACGGCGGTCGTTGGATCGTCTCGGACAATGTAGACGTTGCCAAGCCCGGCGAGGGCAATCGCCGCGTGGACGTGTTCGTTGCCATATCTAATGGTATGTCAAGTCGAACGGGTGATCGATGGCATATCGATATGGACGTACTGCGTCTGTTCCATGGACCACACTTTGGTGCACAGCTCGGTGGCTTCGTCGAGAAACGGCGTCGACTCGGGTTTGCGCTGCGCCTCGCGTCGATCGTGCAGCGACTGGAGGTACCGTCGAGCATCCGCCTCGGCGTCGCGCTTGGTCGGTAGCTTTTCTTTGGCTTCGTTTGCGTCGTGGAGGCGCGCGATGGCCTCGGCGCGAATTCGCTGCGCGCCTTCGGGTGTCGCGAGCCACTTGTCAAAGCGGGCCGCGGCCACGTCTTTGGCGACCTGCAGCGCCTGCGTGTGCCGGAGCACGAGGACGTCCGAGAGAGCGACGTAGTACTCGACCATGGCAGGGTGCTCGGGGCCGAGCGTCAACTGGGCTCCGTCCACTGCCTTGCGAAGACATGCAGTCGCATCTTCAATTTGGCCGCGCTTCATATGACACCTATCCATGATGCATCTGCCTACGGACTCGGTTGAAGCCAGGTGCTTGCCGGCCGAGAAGCAGATCGATGCGAGGTCGCAAGCTTGCAAACACGGAAGCATGCTGGGAACGGCACGCGATCTCGAGAACTTCGGGCCATGTGACGACGCCTTCGTCATCCGCGTCATCATTGCGTCGCAAATAGTCGGCAACAGAGCTCATGGGGCGGTCACCCTCGAGCGCGAGGGCGTCTGCAATACGACTGCGCGTGGCATGGCTCTCGACCCTTTGATATGCTTGGCGCAGCGCAGTGACGAGGGTCGGCGGCAAGGTGCGCTCGAGCTGGGCACAGTAGCCTTGGAACGCCTTGTCATGGCCGTGCAAGTACCTACCGATAGCATACGTGTCAGTGCCAATGCCCTTGCGAATCGTATGGTCGACCGAAAGACTTCGCGCCACTGGATGGATCCACTCTTGTCGGCGTCGACGGCGCGAAAGACCGACTCGAGCTGCGTCGGGTCGAGGAGCGCGCCAAATGCATTCGGCAGCGTATGGGCTTTGGCGCGGAGTTGCGTGAAAAAGTCGTTGGTCGCAAGCGCCGTCAGCAGCTCGTGGCGCGAGACCGCACCGTCGCCATTCACGTCGAGGGCGCGGAAGAGCGCAAACGCAGCTTGCAGCTGTCCGTCCATCTGACGCGTCGAGATACTCTCGGTACGCTGCGACGCTGGCGGCGTGAGGCGCTGCAAGAGTGCGTCCGCGGCCTGCGCGTGCTCGGCACACTGCTTCCAGAGCCCGGCGCGGAGGTAGCTCGTCGCGAGCTGGAGCGTCGCGCGCACCACCGCAACAGAGTCGGCGCCGTAGACGAGCGCGCTCAGGGCGACGAGCCGCATGTGCGCGCGCAAGAAGCGCTCGTAGAGCGTCATGCCCGACGCGTCGTAGAGGTGGCCAATCGACACGTGCGTCGGCGCCAAGGTCGAGGTGTCGACGCGCCACGCGCCGGCGACTTTGATCGCGAGCGGCCGCGCAAACTCGCCGAGCTTATTGTGCGAACACGTCTCGAGCGTCTGGAGCTGCACGTCGAGGCGCGTGATCTCGGCGAGCGTCTCTTCGTACCGGACGCTGCTCGGCGGTATCATGATTTCGCTTTAATGAAGTAAAATAGAATCGCGAATGGTAACTGCCGCCAGATGACGTGGCAGCGTGTCGTGGGAGCATTGCAAGGCGAGACCACTCATGCCGCATGGGACGTACTGAACGCCTGCGTGGCGCTGGTCCCTCACCACCGATCTGTTTGCCGTGGCCTCCAACACTTCGGCATCACTGGCCTCAGTCTCATTCGTTCGAGCGCCAATGACGCCTTTCTAGAATGAGCCTTTTGAGTGTCTCCCGTGGGCGATGGCACCTTGGCGTCATCGATTTGATGCATGTACCGCCACGGCGTCATCGATTTGATGCATGTACCGCCACCAAGCATGTTGCGCCAGCTTGTGGCGCCTCGAAGTGTACTTCCAGAGAGGAGCATTGCACCGTCTACAATCGACCTTGCTACAACCGACCTTGGTCCTTAAACACAAACTACGTTGTCTCTAGAATTTCACCGTGAGCACGAGACGCTGCAGTAGGACCTGGACTCTCCATCTACTTTACTACTTTCGTTCGCCGCACCCAACCTTCCACCAAGAACGAGCAAGCGCAACTCCTCGTACTCGCTGGCTACAAACAGTGTGGCTATCCAAGGGGTTTTCCATACAACATCATACAAACTACAAAAAGATCGTGTCACCGACGGGCCGCGCGCCGACGTTCGAGTTGAGGTACACGAACGCGGCCTTGCACGCTTGCTCTTCGTTCATCAAGTGCCGGTTCTGCAGGTGAATGCGGTCCAACACCGCGCGCTTCTCGTGCGTGATGCCCGACGTGGCCGGGAAGCAGAGCACGCGGATCGCAATGACTTGGAGGTTCGGGCACGAGCTGCCGATGAAGCCCTTCCACCAGTGCAACGGCGAGCACTCTTTGGCCGAGGCCCACACCGCGTCGTCGGCGAAGACACCGACGCGGCCCGTGTAGCGCGTGAGCTCCGAGATCAAGCTCGAAAACATCGCGGGCGACGAGAGCTGCTTGAGGAACGCAAACGCTTCGTTCGTCTCGTCGTTGCCGAGCGACGACGGCGGGAAGCGCGGGTCCAGAAGGTACGCTGTGTACATGGCCGGGTGCCGCATCGCGTGCCAGTGCTTGTTGACGACGCGCGTCACGTCGAGTGGGACGGACGGGTGCGTCTGCAAGTGCGTCCAGAGCAGCGTGAACGCGTGGTAGAACGTACTCAGCGACGGGTAGTCGTCGTCGAAGACCGCAAGCACATCCACGAACGGCGACAGGAGGGCCTTGAACTGCGCGAGCTGCGCCCACCACGAAAGCGTGAGGAGCTTCTCCTTGACGCTCTCGTCCAAGCCGTCCAGCGCGCCGAGGTCTTCGCCGAGCAGCATCTCGAAAATGTGGCGGTGCTTCTCAATGCTATAGACGCACGCGAGGAGCGACGCGGGGTCGGAGCCGGCGGTCACGAGCCCAAACGAGTCGAGGTGCATGTCGGACGCGACGCGCGTGAAGCTCGCACGGGGCACGTGGTTGGACGTGATAAAGGTCGCGACCGTACTGCAGACCCGCAGGAGCGGCTGGAACGTCGGCAGCGACAGCACTTCGGCGACGAGCGCCTCCATCGCATGGGCGCACGACGGGAGGATCGTGAGGTGTGTGAATTTCGCCTGGAGCACGTCGCACGCTTGCTTCATGTTGACGCTGATGTCGGCGACGATCGTTGCGACCTTCTCGATGCCAATCGCATTGATCGTCGCTTCCATGTGCTCGAAAAGCATCATGGGCACATGCGGCGCTTCGCGTGTGTTTTCAATCGCGTACACGGCCGGCGTCGGCGAGTGCACCGAGTACGAGATGACCGACCGGTTGCTCGCAAAGGACCAGCTCTCGACGCCGAGGCAGAGAAAGACCGTCTCGGCCACGTCCGCGCGCACCTGCGACGACATGGCGTGGAACTCGTTGTCGAGGAGCGTCGTCGTCAAGACCGCATTGCCCGGGCTCTGGTACAGCGGGTACATGCGCTTCATGAGGCCTGTAAAGCACGGATGGTCGATGACCGAGACAGGCAGCCCGGCGCCAAAGATCGCTTTGGCCAGGTAGCTTTGCATGTCGTGGCGCTCGAGCGCCGGGTTGCTCGCGGGCGGCAGTGCCTTGCGCGGCTTCTTGTTCTTCGGGTCGGCCGGCGGCGCATCGCGCTTCATCATGGCCGGCTTGTACTGCGTCGTCATGTTGGCAAACTGCGCCGCGTTGTGGAGGCTCAGCGCGTCGGCCGCGTGCAGGCCCATGGCCGACGCCTGCTTGGCGGCGCCGAGCGCCTCTTCGCCCGTAATGATGTCGGCGCGGATCGAGGGCGGGACGTCCGTGCAGCGCTTGGCGAGGTGGTGGCGCATGCGCGTGACGAGGCTCACCATGTTGTGGTGGCAGTACTTGCAGATGGCCCGCTTCCCGACTTCATCGCGCCGGAAGTGAATCCAAACGTTGCTCGCGGGGCGGGGCATGGTCGCCTGTTGGAATCGCGAAAAAAACTGCGACCTGTTTTCAACAGCCAGTCCCTCACTTCGTGTTGCCGTACATCGTACGTGCACACGGCTGTATCTGCTCACAAATACCAAGCTTGAACGTACGTACATTCAAGCAATGTACCGTTACGACCGTACAAGGTTTTGAACGGCGTGTGTTTTTTACGTCCATGGCAAACGCATCGGCGTTTTACTTGTTTAAACATAGTTAAACCCAGTGCTGTCAAGGAGGGCTCAGGTTGAACCCGTCGCGTCCACGGTTTTAACCCTATTGGATGCTATAGCAGTAAAATTTAACCTGTTTCGTGTGCAGAGGCAGCCACTATAAGCCGGCTGATGCAGAGCACGACGATGGGCGGCAGGTGGAGCCAATCTGTGGCGTGTATACTTTTCCGCCAATCACAACTATTTATCATGAAAGGACGTTACGGATTGGCTGAAATCCGTCGACAGGCGCGACGCGTTCCCGCCAACCGCAATCAACCGCATTCAACCGCAATCAACCGAACAAAGGATCCTTGGTGAGGTATGGCGACTACGCTCGACTGTGATACTCGTCTGACGCCCAACCTCGGTGAAGCACTTGCGACCGTCGGAAGATCTCCTTCTCTGTCGGCTACCGTGGGACCTAGGATCGCAAAACGTTAATTGGCGCCCTGCGATTGGTCGAAAGGCCGTCCTGGCCGAGGGCATATAAAGCCCAAGTCAAAAAAGGTTGAGGCCGCCAGCATTACGATAGGGGTAGGGCTCCGTACTCGAACTGGCCAATCCAGGTGGCGGGTGGTTGAAAAAAGAAAAAGAGCATATTTAATTCGACTGATTTTATGCTTCCCACAAAGCACAAGTACAAGGCGCGAAGAGGAGAAAACGAAATCGTATTTTTAATAATATCGAATTCGGGCCGCGGTTCTGGAAACCGTGGCAGTCGGGACTTTGCCGGTACCGCGGTCTCTGTACAGCCAGCGACGACGACGACGAGCAGCAGCAGCATGATGATCATGGAGCACCATGGATGGAGCGACGACGAGCGCGTCAAGTTCGCCGATGCGCTCGCCGAGTTTGGCTCCGACTGGAACCGCATCTCGCGGGCCATCGACTCGAAGAGTGTGCAGGAAGTGTACGAGTATGCCACCGCGTACTACAAGACCATGATGAGCGGCAAGGACCTGCGCTCGATCGAGACGATGAAGAGCTCTGTGTGCGTGTCGCTCTTGGCTGAGAAGCTGCAGCAGACGGCGGCTGGCCACTGCAACAATGCAAAAGAGAACAGCCTCGTGGGCAATGGCAATGGCACGGTACGCACGCTCCGCCGACGGCGGCCCGCTTACGCCCTATGTAGGCCTCGTCGCCATGCGCCACTGCCAAGGAGGCCGCGGTCCCGACCGAAGCAACGAGCCTGCCGTTCGAGTTGCGCGATGTGTCGCCAAGCAACCGGTACTACACAACCAGCATTCCGCCCCAAGTGTACAAGACGGGTCTCTCGGGCAACCCGTATGAGAACCGCATCAAGGACCTCTCGGACGCCGACATCAAGCTCCTTCTCCGCAAGCGCATCCTCGACATGACGCGGCGCAAGCAAGAAAACTTGGCCAAGCGCAAGTTGCACGAGACCTTTGCGTCCCAGCAGATCATGGCGTTTCAAGCGAAACACGGCGTGACGGCGACGCGGCTTCCGTCGTCCTCGCCCGACGCTACAGCTGCCAAGGCGTCGAAGCGATCGTCCCGTACCGCCGGTAGCATTGCGATCTCTGTCTCGGGTCAATTCTCATCGCATCGCCTAGTGCTGGCGCCCACAAACAAGAAGCGCAAGTCGCCTAGCAGCGATGGCTTTGCTGGCGTCGACGCGCTGGCCATGATTAGCTGCGAAGAGCTGCAAAAGTACCATGGCCGCGACGAGCCCTCGCTAACGACTCCTGCGGGGCCGCAAGCCTCGTTTGACTTTTCGATTGCGCCGACCAACAAGGATGCCAAGCGTGCGAAATGGAGCGCGGAGGAGCACGACCTCTTTGTCGACGGCCTCAAGCGCTATGGGCGCAAGTGGAAGAAGGTGCAAGAGCACGTCAAGACCAAGTCGACGGAGCAGGTGCGCAACCACGCCAACGCCTACTTTGCCACCAAGCCGCCTTCCGACACGGGCGACGTGCTCGAAGTCGCGGGCTTTCTAAGCTCGCTTGCGCAAGCCCCGACCCGCGGCCGCTAACGGCGACACCGCCCGTTGTATTTTTTGATTTTGCCACTAAACCGCGCAGCTCCACGTGCGTGGCGACGGTGCTAATGACCCATAATTTAAGCTCCCACCTCCTGCTTTCCGACACCGACCCGGCACAGACTGTAGATGGCCACTAAGAATTGCAGTGCACAGTGGGGCCATTGGATTCTGTGCTGGAGCAATCGCATACGGCAGCACTCTTCCTCTCCGCGGTACCACGACGTGGCACGTCTCTGGACGGGGCAGGATGGGACCTGCAGCTTGGAAGACACGATATTGGTACAGTAGTGCAGTAGTCCTCTGTGAGGGCGCGTGCTGCAGCTGCACCGTGGCCAAGAACGAGCTAGCGGCACACGACGGCAAACACGTCTATCTATTGTCGCCGGGTCCGTGCTAGGGCCTATTAAATTTAGAGGAACTTGGGGTTCTCGCCCAATTCCGCCTGGAACGTGTGCTCGTCGCCGGGGAAGATCTTGAGCTTGGCAATCTGGAGCGCGCGCAT